TGGCTCAATATAATTTCTATAGACATTTTTTTTTCAGTGCCCTTGGGCTCAATATAATTTCTATAGAAATTTTTTGCAACCCCTGGGGCTCAATAGAATTTCTATAGAAATTTTTGAGACCCCTGGGGCTCAATAGATATTCATTAGAATGTTTTTGAGGCCCGTAGGGCTCAATATAATTTTTATAGAAATAGAATTTCTATTGAAATTTTTTGGACTCCTAGGGCTGAACTGACCCTTAGGGCTGAATAGAATTTTTATGGAATTTTTTTTAAGTCTCCTGGGGCTCAATATAGATATTTTTTTATTTTTAAAAAATATTTTTAAAACTCCACGCCTTGTATGACTTAAAAAATATATTTTTAAAAATCCACGCCTTGTATGACTTAAAAAAATATTTATTTTTTATTTTTTACAGAACACCAAAAAATATTTAACTGCTAACATTTGTGAATAAAATTAGAATATTTAAGAGAATAAATAAAATTGTTGGGCTATGGTGCGTATAACTACTGTCAGCATGTATACGCACCCGACGACCATAAATAAATAAATTTAATAATTCAAAGAGGATTTTTTACAGACAAAGTTTGGGATAAAACTTCTTTTGAGACCCTTAGGACACAATAACATTTCTACAAAAATGTTTTTGAGACTCTTGGATCTCAATATAATTTCTATAGAATTTTTTGAGACCTTTTGAGCTTAATAGAATTTCTAGAGGAACTTTTTGAAACCCCTGTGGCTTAATAGAATTTCTATAGACATTTTTTGAGACCCCTAAAAATTTCTATGGGCATTTTTTTGAGACCTTTACGGCTCAATAGAATTTCTATGGGCACTTTTTGATACCCTGGGACTCAAAAGAATTTCTATGAGCACGTTTTGATACCCTGGGATTCAATAGAATTTTTTATAGAATTGTTGGCTCCTTGAAAATGTTTTTTACTACACGCCGTGTTTTAAACTTGAATATATATATTTCAAAAATTTCTTCCTTAAAATTTATATCTAATAACTAATTGAACAGGAAATAAATTAATTTCCTTAATACCTTCCCCTCCAAAAAAAATCTAATCTCTCTCCTATTGTTATTCAAAATTCCATTCTGTGTGTGCATCTGTTTAATGTCACCTCTCAAATCCCGCATTAAAATTTAAATGCTCATTTTTGAATTTTGGCATTTTGATAATTTGTTATTTGGCCATTTGTCCGTTCGTCCCGACCAACAACAACAACATTTTTACAAAATACTCTCCATTTAAGTAAATATAATTAATTTTTGTAAAGCTGTCCCGCAAAAATATGCCATTAAGTGGATAACAAAAATAAGCAATTATTGTTTGTCGGAATGTCTATGGATCCAGGAGGGATGCAGGCAGGGTCGCTAGACCACAAATTTACTCATGTCGACCATGAACGATTTTCTATTTTGTTGTTGGTGGTGGTGGTGATGACCACAAAAACCGCAAAATTCATTTTCCATTTAGTTATTCGGTCGGTTGGGTTGGCAAGTGGTTTGGTGCGGCACAACTTCGAAAATTACTAATTGAATTTGAATCATATCTCGTTGATGGTGGTTAGTTGTAGATTTTTTTATTATCCTTGTTGAATTGCAGATGTTTTGGGTTTTTTGGTTAAGGTGGCAGGAATATAAAATTGGGTATTTGGGAATCTGAGGAAAAATTTTGTTACTACTTGAAAAAAATTAAAAAAGTCACACGACTTATGGAACCCAAAAATTGCCCTAGAAAATGTAGGTTTCATTCTAAAGGTATCGGTTGCGTATACGTATTGGCAATACTTATACGACACAGCTCACCGTTTCCATTTAAGCCCTACTGGATTTATAGTTGCTGAACAATTTCAAGCTTTTTTTTGTAATTGGCTACTTAAAAAATATTTTTTTTTTCAAAAAATTATTTTTTATAAGCACTAATTTTCAAAAATTCCCCATTAATATTCCCCTACCTCATTTAACCACCTGTTTTCAATTGCAAGTGTAATATCTATCTATGAATGAGTTTGTGTGTGTGTTCGTGCGTTGGGTGTTTGTGTGTGCGTTGTGGCTAAAGACAGATTAATACAATTTAATTGGTTAGCCAATTGATAAACCATAATCTCAAATGTCGTGAGGTAAAATCCAATAAAAAAAACGCAAAAAATTAAGTGTCAATTTGAACTGATTTCAAATTGAAAATGTTGTTAGCAGTCAGACACACTACTTGGTATTTGATGTGCGTGTGTGTGAGAGAGAATAACAAATTTATTATTTAAGCAAATTAATAATAAATATTTTGCTTTAAATATTTATTGCAGTAATATTTAAATATTATTTTTGTTAACTCAGGGCGTATGAGTATTGTCAAAACGTATACGACGGATTTTAAATATATTCTTAATTGTTCAATGGTCGTATGAGTTTTGTCAGCACGTATACTTTCAAAATATTCTTTAAAAATGTAAAAATATTCTTTAAAAATCCGCGCCTTTTGGTCTGTGGATCCTTGTAAAAATATTCTTTAAAAATCCACGCCTTTTGTTCTGTGGATCCTTGTAAAAATATTCTTTAAAAATCCGCGCCTTTTGGTCTGTGGATCCTTGTAAAAATATTCTTTAAAAATCCGCGCCTTTTGGTCTGTGGATCCTTGTAAAAATATTCTTTAAAAATCCACGCCTTTTGGTCTGTGGATCCTTGTAAAAATATTCTTAAAAAACACGCATTTTTCCTCTTCTAAATATTGTTTACAAATCACACCTCTGTAAATATTATGTCAATATTTGAGATTTCCTCAATACAAAAAATCTGGGGAAATTTTTAGTAAAGAAAGTAATTCGAAAATAGTTGCAATGATTTTTATAAAAATATTCCCATTAGCCCATTGGGCGTGTGAGTGTTGCCAGCACGTATACGTCGATTTTTAAAATGATACTATGACATCAAAATCTGAAAATATGGTGAGTGGATTTTTAAAAAACAAACTTTAAAAATCCAAAAAATTGTTTAAAAATCCACGCCTTTTGGTCGGAGGATATAAAATTCTTTAAAAACCCACGCCTTTTGGTTGGAGGATGGTGTTTATAAAATTCTTTAAAAATCCACGCCTTTTGGTCTGTGGATCCTTGTAAAAATATTCTTTAAAAATCCACGCCTTTTGGTCTGTGGATCCTTGTAAAAATATTCTTTAAAAATCCACGCCTTTTGGTCTGTGGATCCTTGTAAAAATATTCTTTAAAAATCCACGCCTTTTGGTCTGTGGATCCTTGTAAAAATATTCTTTAAAAATCCACGCCTTTTGGTCTGTGGATCCTTGTAAAAATATTCTTTAAAAATCCACGCCTTTTGGTCTGTGGATCCTCGTAAAAATATTCTTTAAAAATCCACGCCTTTTGGTCTGTAGATCCTTGTGAAAATATTCTTTAAAAATCCACGCCTTTTGGTCTGTGGATCCTCGTAAAAATATTCTTTAAAAATCCACGCCTTTTGTTCTGTGGATCCTTATAAATATTCTTTAAAAATCCACGCCTTTTGGCCTGTGGATCCTTGTGAAAATATTTTTTAAATGTCCAATACATTTGATCTGGGGAAAACTTAGTATAAATAGTAACTTGAAAATAGTTCCAATAGTCATTACAAAAATATTCTGCTATCCCATTGGACGTATGAGTGTTGTCAACACGTATACGCCGAATTTTAAAATCATAATATGACATCAAAATATAGTATTTTCTTTATACGACGGTGAAAGAATCTGTGAAATCAAAATTGGAGATTTCCTCAATACGTTTGATATAAAAAAATTATCTTGGGCAATTTTTAGTAAAAATAGTAATTCGAAAAAAATTGCAATGGTCCTTAAAAAATATTCTCATTGGGCGTATGAGTGTTGTCAGCACGTATACGCAGAACTTTGAAAAGGAAAATATGGCATCAAAATATAGAATTTTTATTAGATTTTCTCAATAAAATTGTTAGAACGGATAGCATAGAGAAATATTAGACAAAATATTCAATTCATACAACGATTTATTCGAATATTCTCACTTGCCCATTGGGCGTATGATAGTTGTCAGCACGTATACGTTGCATTTCAAACAATTTGGTATTGACAGTAAAGATTTTATTCTATGAGTTCTAAGAGTTCGGAAGAAGTTTTCTATAGACATTTACTAGAAAAAGCTCATGTCCTTTCTCAGGGTTCAGTTTGTTTGTTTTTTTTTTATTCTATCCTTCACACACAATATACAGGTTCATCCTTTCAATAGTGAAGAAAGTCATCCTTGTCAGCCCTTTTTGATTCGAACGGATAGTCTTTCCTCTACACAAGAGACCCACTACAAGATATTTAAACTTTAGTATACCATTATCCATTTAAATTATTTACGTTACATCTTAGAGATCGGAAGATGTATTCTATAAACTTTTACAGGTGAAGAATTCATATACCATCTCAGGGTACAGCTTTTTCCATTTGATCGGATATTTTATCCTTTACACAAGAAATCCTCAACGAGACATTACTATACGTGAACAAAAATATTGTAGCCAAAATAATACCAGTTAGACGAAATTCCGATTATTTGTAAATCATTCGTCACTTAAAATATTTCCTTTCTGCAATAGAGCTTTATAGAGATTCCAAAGACTCTTGTAGTCGAAGTGCTCACTAAAAGTTCGGGGTGTAGTTTCTCTTTTGAAAGGATTCATGAGGATTGGAGGGAATAATTCTGCTGGTTTGATAGCGATTTCAATTCTGATTTTATTTTGTAAAATTTTACTGTAACTACTTAAACTAATCTAACTTAGCCTAATCTGCGCCACACCATACTTTTCAATTCTCACAGAGCACATGTACGGTTATTTAGGTACCTAAAATACACTTATTTTGAAAATTGTAGCCTTCTGCGTATACGTACTGTCACTATGTATACGCCCCAAAGAACCGTTTTAATTAAAATCTCTATTCTCTTTGAATTGCAGAACTTTTTTGTGAAACAAAATGGCTGACAATGAAACACTGCCCGCAGCAACAACAACCACAGGGACATATTATTCCTATACCATACCGGGTATGGATATCAGTAGTGGTTCGATGTTATTTACCCTTGTAAGTCAGTTTATGGGTGTGATAACACCCAGTGAATTGCCATTAGGTGAGTTTGGCGGAATTCTCAACTACGAATTTACAATATAATGATGAGAAATTTCTTCTTCAAATACAGGACAAGTCCGCCAATTATTACATTCAAATCTCACGCTATTTGAATTTGGGCTGAATGTAAGTATAAAGAAACTTTTGGGAATATTGATAATTGAATTTGTTTGTCCCTTAGGCCATCAAAGTTGAATCGGGTTTCATTGCGTTGATGAGCATATTTATGATTTTGGCTGTGGTACCCATATTGGCCACCTGCTGTTGGTGCTGTTGCAGTCGCCAGCCGGGCGAAGATGAAGAATTTGCCCGCAATGCTGCCCGCATGAACGAATCCTTGGAGGATAGTTTAATGTGTCGTAAAAGTGCCTCACTAACCACATTGTGGATAGTTTTCATATTGTTAAGGTAAGTTTAACAACCGCAAACAACGGGATATAAATGGGGTCATAAAAAACTGCATCCTGTTGATCCAATTTTCTCGTTCTCTCGCATTCTCTCATCAAATTTCTTTTTGTTTTTCCCCCTTTTCCAGCTTAAGCGACTTGTGCATATTTTATGCCAACAGCCGTTTGGCCAGCACCGTTGAAATGACACCCGAAATGATCAAATCCACCGTCCATGACATGGAGGTATTCCTGAAGGACACCCATCTACAAATCAAACATAAACTTGATAATGGCTTTCATGTTTCGGTGGAAAAAGTTGTCAAAGATTTGGAAGGTTAGCAGTGCATTTCGTTTATAGCCATTTTCCCATTGCATGTCTTGGCCATCACCATCATCTTCATATGGCCCATAAATTTTCCTTATGACCATGTTTTCGTTCTTCTTCTTCTTATGTTATATTACACTTTAAACATGTTTTCTTGCCATTATTCATTTATTGGTATTTTTTCGGTTTTATATCCTTTTTTGTTATCGTTGTTAGATGTGGATGTCTTACTCGGTGAACCAATTCAAGCGGAAATTTCAGCACATACTGGCATTGAGTTGGCCTATGATTCGTTGGCAACCTTAAGCTTGGGTAAGTAACGAAAAAAAGAAAACTTTTTATTTTCATGCCGTAAAAATTATTTTACGTACAAAGAACATTGGTCAGAAGGTAAAGGACGGATATTTAACAGATTTAATGAATTCCGAAGATCCTTTCAAAGTCCTAATTTGTTTTTTGTAGGGTTCTGAAAGCTGGTTCTTGACATTATCAGCTGTCTTCAGGATAGCATTTGCAAACCTGGCTCCAGGTTGTCATTTCTAAGCCGACAGTTCCTAAGATTTAGCACCAGCGTTCATCCTGGCCTCTCTTATCGCCACCACTAAATGTTTCCATCGCCTCTATCTCTTCAGGCTTCATATTAGTGGTCAACCAGTTACCTTTTCCCTGTTTATGTTTTCGATGTCGAGTAAAGTCAATCTTCTCTGGCCTTTTTTATTCGATAAGATATTCTATCTTCTACACAAGACAACCACAGCAAGGCATTTACATTGTATACTCTGCTTCAGAATCTATATTCCATTCTATTTATGCAAATTGTTTATAAATTTGAAAGGTTTTCATTTCTCAGCCGATAATTCCTAAGTCCAACCACCCTCTATTGCCAACATCACAAAATGACTTCCACAGGCTTATCGCCATCAATCGCCGTTTGCCAGCTTTCCCTTTCATTGTCAAAGAAAATCATTTTTTCAGCCCATTTTTATTTGATCGGATAGTCTATCCTTTACACAAGAGACCCACAGCAAGGCATTCACAGCAATGATGTTATCGAACTAGTGACACCAATTAGACAAAGTTCCGTTTATTTGTATGTCATTAAGTACTAAAAATATCTGCGCTATATCTTCAAGTTTAAAAGAGGTCTTCCATAGACTTTTATAGGTGAAGAGCTCATGTACCACCTCCGGGTACAGTTTTTTTATTTTATCGGATATTCTATCCTTTACACAAGAGACCCATATAATAAGTGGACTGTATAGTTAAAGAAGATCCCTGGTTAAATAAGAAACACACACAATATTTATGATGCAATATATGATGACAAAACAAAAACATTTTTTTATGATCTGTCAAATTTGAATATTTCTCATGGTTGGCAACATTGCACGCCGAATTTGAGTAGAAAGCATGATGCAACAATAAGGTGATGTATCAATACAAAAATCTTTGTTTTTGTCTCGATTATCTGTCAAATTTTTCCTTGTAATATTTCAAATGGTTGGCAACACTGCACATCGAATTCATGCAAAAATTAGCCAGTTTGACAGTTAATCGAAACATCAGCTGCGCTAAATGGACTACCTATTCATTGTGCCATGGTTAAAACCAAGATGCTAGTTAACCTTATAAATAGATCTTGGTTAGTCATCTTATATGTGACAAATCAGTGTTGTATTCGTAACTACCAATCACAATAATAAGAGGCAAATTTATTATTCACAATAAGAAGGTGATGTGTTTTGTTACGTCAAAACATCTGTTTTTTATGCGACCATCTGTCAAATTTATCTAGTAATATTTCTCATGGTTGGCAACATTGCACATCGAATTCAAGCAGCAAGATCTACGAATAAGGTAACCCAACTAGCGAAAGTCAGCTGTTAATTCTCAAGTCTAATGTTAAAAATTTTGACTTTTTTTACGTTTTTATAACGACAGTCAATTCACAATAATGAATTTTGACAGCAAACTTGAGAAGCAGCTGATATGCAGCTGGTCTCCCTGGATGACCTTATTAATAGACCTTGTCAAGTGAAAACTATGCACTTTGACAGTTAATCGGTTAGTCAGCTGCGCTAAATGGAGTACCTACTTATTGTGTCATTTATTTATTAAGCAAAGATCAGCTGTTTCTTAAGTTTTGTACCAAAATCATCTATTGTGAATTGAATGAAAATGTAATCTACAAAATAAAAATTGAAATAGAACTGTTTTATTTAGGGTCTATAACATTTTTTCGCAATTGTTTATTTATTTATTTTTTAAAGTCCACACCACTGTTCCGGTGCTTTAGTAAAACCGCCATAAATTATCATTTAACAAAACCTACATAACATTGAAAAGAGCTAACGTATCGTATAGCAATTATTATCCATGTTTTCCAAATAACATTTGTTTCCAATACAAAAACAAAAACAATTACAACAAATTATTTGACCCACTTATCGAACAAAACAGATTCAGAAAGAGAAAATAACCTGCAAACATTTTCTCTCGCACATAACCTTCAAAATAATATAACGACGATATACTTATTCGAACATTATTTATTATGCCATGGCTGTGCCAGGAAGGTTAGGTTATAAAAGAAAAAATATGCGGGCTTAGTTAAACAGTAGTGCAGAGGTTAAATGGTACGAGATAATGGTAAAATAAATTAAAAAAAATTCTAACAGGTTTGACAGGTTTTTATGAGAAGTTGTTTACATTATCATTTAATAAAACAAATCATTTATATTGTCTTTCTCATTACAACTTGTCAACAATTTTAGAATGTCATTTCTGTTCACTATTATCTCGGAGCATTTAACCTCATAAATTTTTGAAATGTCATTTTCAATTCTGTTTACTATTATCTCGTGGCATTCAATATACGTACTACGTTTTAACTAACTAAATGATAATGATGTAAACATAACCTTAGTTTATGAAATCAGCCTCGAAGGACCAAATGCTGAAAACCCTAACCTCACATTTCGATTGTTATTTCAATTCTGATTTAATTCCAAAACATTTTTACTTAAGAACTACTTAAACTAATATAACTTAGCCTAATTTTAGACGACACTCTCTAATTAGTTTCATATTTATATCTAACACTATATTGTGTCCTGATATTTAAAAGTTTGTTAAGGACTTCAGGCTTCACATTTAAGTTGGCTTTTTTTATTGCAAAAGAATAGATGAGAACGGCATCCAAAATAAAGTTTGACTCTGTTATTCCTTTATAAATTGATATTTTATACAAAGGCAACTTAATAGGGCAGGTCTGAATCCTCGCATGAGTTTTCCCTTTAGGAAGGCATATTCCTTTTTTTATTTCTGCTGTCGTCCTTATAATCGTTTCTATTTTAAAACTCAATATCCTGTCACATTATTATTATTATTTTTACCCTTTTTCTTCTCTACAGCAAATGCCGAACTTATCTATCGTGTCCTAATGTTACAAGAGACCGTTGGCCGAGCACTAAAAATATCCCAAGAGGCATCGGCCCGCATGGAAGAACTACAAATACAATTGTCTGTGCTGCAACGTCAATGTACATATCGTGACCGACCATTATGCGATACGCTGCGTATACGAAGTTTCGAAGAGAATGGTATTATTGATGCACTCAAAACGGTAAGAAAATACGATAAATAAACAGAAAATAAAATGATAGAAAATATAAGATATGATTGGATTATTTTTATACAAACAATTTGAAGAGTGACACATATAATTATTTTTATTAGAAGATGTCATTATTTATTGAAGCAATATTTTTTTAAACATTTCACAGCTGATTTTCGACTCTTGGGTGACATTAAAGAATTTTGGTATGCTTCGTGGCACAAAAAATAGGTACTCCTAAGATCTATTAATAAGGTCACCCAGCTAGCGAAAGTCAGCTGTTTTTTCTCAAGTCGAATGTCAAAAATTTAAACTTTATTTACGTTTTCATAATGGAAGTCAATTCGCAATAACGGCGTCAAAACCCTATTACGACTCTGACATTCCATTACCATTTGACATTTGAAAAAAAAAAATAACTAAGGCCTATGAAAAAGGTCATCCAGAAAGATCAGCTGCTTCTCACATTTACTGTCAAAATGCATTATTGTGAATTGTCTCCATTTTACGAAAATGCAAATAAAGTGCAATTTGCAAGTTGGCTGTCAAAATTCATTATTGTGAATTGACATGCATTATGAAAACGTAAACAAAGTCCAAATTTTTTGATCTTAGACTTTGGAAAAGCTCACAGCTGACTTTCGCTTCCTGTTTGACCTTATTTATAGATCTTGGTTAGTCATCTTAAATGTGTCAAGTCAGTGTTGTATTCCTTATTATCAATCACAATAATAAAAATCAACGAATTATTCACAATAAACATTTTATAATGGCATTAGAAGTGTAATTCGATGATCTTTTGCAGAACCTATAAGAATCTTCTACTTTTTGATTACAATGTCAGATCAATAAATTCCATATTTATTTACAAAATTAATATCGTTCTTTATTACTCGTTTCAGTTACAAGAGGATCAAACGATATTTCGCATGCGCTACCTGGGTGAAATAGAATTTGGTGCTACGGTCAAGAATTTAACATCTGAAGTTGGAATGTCACGTTCGATATTCAGTAATTTTCCGCAACAAGTTAAAATGGATACGGCCTATGAACGGAATTGTAAGTAAAAAACGTAGATTATTTTAATACATTTACAAAAATTTGAGGAGGGAATTCCAATGCTGATTACTAATAAATCATACGGCCATATTTAAAAGTGTGGGATCTACCTCTAGGACACAAAAATATAAAAAATGTGACCGCCCCGGTCAAGTTGGCCGAGATGTAGTAGAATAATGACAAACGCATATCGATAACGAAATGCGATAAAATACAACCATGTATTGAAATAATCGATGTATATGAGATAGAGTATATAATGTATCGCGTCACTTGAAAAGAGACCGGCAAAACGAATCAACGCCCACAAATATATTACAATATTTCATTATCGCGTACATTCTTCGCCATTTTTTTGGGATTGGACATTTCACAAATTTTATTTTTCATAATGCCTTGAGTGTGAAAGCTTAAAAAGCTCAGATAACACCAAAACACAAGCTGACCAATCCTTAACTACGTAGGGCTCTTGTCAAATGATTAGAAATGACACATCTGCGGTTCGAAAGCCCCAAGACTTATTACTGATAAGTCTATCCATCCTCCAGATGTAACATTTTGGTCACTAGGCTTACCTTTTCAAATGAATGGATTGCGCTATGGCCTGACAATACTTACATTTAACAAAGACAATGCTACGTATCACTCCAAGGAGAAATCTTCTATGTGAAAAATTTCCGAACTACCTGGGAATACAACGATAATTCCTCCGAATAAAAGAAGTATATATTTCATTATCGCATACATTATACATCATTTTTTGGGATTGGGCATTCCACAAACCGTATTTTGCATAAAGCCTTGGATCAATAACAACTTCGTGCCCTTGCTGAATGAGAGAAATCCAAGAAAATCCAAGAGTTATATTTGATAGTCGCTGCATTCTCAAGGTGTTATATTTTGGTCAGTGGACCTTAGTTAGACCGGAGTTGGATTTATCTGGACAATGTTTACTTTGAACAAGACAATGCTAGGAGCCAAAACCATTGCTCTTTTAATAGAAATTTTCGAACAATGCCGGGGAAGGTAACGATATATCCTCGGAATAAAGAAGTATATATCTCATTATCGCATACAATCGATATAATTTATAAACATACTTTCGAGAGCTACTGTAGAAGTGCTGATTTATTATCTGTTAGAAAACATTTCCCTAATGACAATTATCGTAAGCTATTGAGAGTGAAAGGTATATTCAAATATGAGTATTTAATTTCTTTTAGTAAGTTAACTGAGACTGTACTTCTGTACTTAAACTGATGTTCCTCTTCTCATACTGATGTTCTTATACTTAGGAGGTGAAGTTAGAAGTGCTAAAATATCTTGATATGCTTACCTCTATTAAAAACGTGGAGATCTCAGAGGGGTTATCGCAAAAGTCCTTCCTTTTGTAGAATGTTACTCCAATAAAAGTAAAGACAGGATTTCTTCAGTGTCACATGAGGCATGTTTGAGTTAGATTATGGAATGTCATCTAGGCTTCAGGTCGATTTATTAAATCTCCAATAAAAGAGAATAGAGAGTGTCTTCATTACTAGATGTGGTATATTTGAGTAAGAATATGAAATGTCATCTAGGTTTCAGAATGATTTTGTAAATCTTAAAATATTTGTAGTTCTTAGGGAATACATATGTAGATGATTGATGGGCTAAATCCACTAAATCGCTTTCGAAAATAATATCGATTTAATACACTCTTCAATTCATTATTCCCTTTTTTAACCTCAAACCACTCCATAATTCATTTCAATTTTCTCTCTTTCTCTCTCCACAGACACCTTGCAACAATTGGAAACGATACGCCATCGTACCACAACAAATGCTCAAATGTTAACCTCAACCATAAATGTTCTACTCGGTCGGCTGGAAGGTGTCTGGGATTCCGTCAAGCCACAATATGAAAAACTGCAAGATTGGTCAAATGTCTATTGGACCACTGGATGGGTGGCAGCCATGGCCGTTGTTTGGATACTCATATTTATGCTGATGGCCTACTGTTGTTTTCTATGCGAATCCAATGTTAAAGCCGGCGTTTTACTTTTCATAGCGGTTGTTATCATCTGCCTCAGCTGTATTGGTCTAACCATCTATGGAGTGCTGTCGCTGGCCATCGGTGGTAATGCCGAAGTGTTTTTGTGTAAACCGTTGTATGATGCAGGTGTCAGTGTTGTCAATCGCATGGATACAACAGGCAATATGATGATGATCCCGTATGACTACAACAGTAATAGCAACAACATCAATAACATGAACAGCAACAATGCCTATGATATGCTGGGTAAGTTATTCGATAAGCCCGGTTATGTTTATGAACATGAACCGGAGGTGGGCATTATTGGTGAGCTATTGCGTCCGGATGGGGTGAATCGACCAATTGTTAATGTTAGTTTATCATCGGCAATAAGGTAGGTGGTTTTAGATTGTTGTTGTAAAGTAGTTGGATTGACAAGTAAGCTAGAAAGCCCAAAAAGCTTGAGTGGAAATGCCAGAAAAACAGCTAAGCTTTAAAAAATTTTTAAAATAAATCGGAATATATCACCCAGAATTTTCGCCTGTGAAAATAAATTTAGAGCCAAGACTTCCGAGCTTTTTTCTATATAGAAATTATGAAGCTTTGAGATCAAATTTTCATATAGAAACTATGGAGCTTTGGCTCCAAATTTTCTATATAGAAACTATGGAGCTTTGGCTCCAAATTTTCTATATAGAAACTATGGAGCTTTGGCTCCAAATTTTCTATATAGAAACTATGGAGCTTTGGCTCCAAATTTTCTATATAGAAACTATGGAGCTTTGGCTCCAAATTTTCTATATAGAAACTATGGAGCTTTGGCTCCAAATTTTCTATATAGAAACTATGGAGCTTTGGCTCCAAATTTTCTATATAGAAATTATGGAGCTTTGGCTCCAAATGGCTCTAAATTTTCGGTATAGAAACTATGGAGCTTTGGCTCCAAATTTTCTATGTAGAAACTATGGAGCTTTGGCTCCAAATTTTCTATGTAGAAACTATGGAGCTTTGGCTCCAAATTTTCTAAAAAGGAACTATGGAGCTTTAAATTTTCTATATAGGAACTATGGAGCTTTGGCTCCAAATTTTCTATATAGAAACTATGGAGCTTTGGCACCAAATTTTCTATATAGAAACTATGGAGCTTTGGCTTCAAATTTTCTATATAGAAACTATGGAGCTTTGGCTCCAAATTTTCTAAAAAGGAACTATGGAGCTTTAAATTTTCTATATAGGAAATGTTTGGCTCCAAATTTTCTATATAGAAACTATGGAGCTTTGGCTCCAAATTTTCTATATAGAAACTATGGAGCTTTGGCTCCAAATTTTCTATATAGAAACTATGGAGCTTTGGCTCTAAATTTTCGGTATAGAAACTATGGAGCTTTTACTCCAATTTTTTTTAATTTTGTATCCATTCTTTAAATTTAAATTTATTTCCCATTACTCCACCCTTTTCTTCTTTTGGTTGTTAAAAGGTTTTATATTCTCCCCCCGTACCATTAGAGTTACGAATACCAACCAATTAGCCAAGATACTGTACGTGTTTCCTTATTTTTTGCAAATGAATTGGCACAATAAAAGAGATAACCATACAATGAACCCCCTTTCGAAATTACCTTATCTGAATGTGGCCCCTCTTCCAACCCACCTTTTCACATTGCTCTGCTAAGCATTATTCAGCTATTGAATATACCGATGTCGAAACTCCTTTCAATTTAACCTCTGAATACCTTGTAATGACAAATTGAGAAAATAATTAAAATTGGAAACAATGTCACCTTGAACAAACACCAGGGACATATGTCCTTTGGCCAGATGTTATCTTCTGTTCACCCCCAACCCCCTGAAATGGAAAACGAACACCCTTTTTTCGTGGTAATGCTATGATATACCCTTTCCAGACCCCCGATAACTGTCTCCACCTCTTCAATACCACTAATGATTCCAAAAAAATATTTTTTTTCTAACTACCAAAAAAATTACAACAACAACATGGTCAACTTGATGACTAAATGCCATTGCAACAACAACAAAAACACAAATTCTGACATAAATGTTCCATCATCATCTTCTATGATTTGTTACTTTGTCTCTCTGTATCTGTGTGTGTCTTATTGAATTTCATGGCATTCATTCGGGTTTCAATTGCTCTCGTTCACACACACACATACAATTCTTCTTCACATCTCCTCTCCCTCAGAGGTTGTGAAAAAAACGAAGCATCGTACAATGTCTTCCAATTGGATGCATTCGTTAATACAACGGCAATTTCCAATTTGAAACAATTCCCCAAAGTCACGCAAGCCATCGATTCAATAGATGTATCGGAGCGCACCCTGCTGTCACTGACACAGACGATACAAAGTATCCTGGAGAGTATGCTGCAGACATCGTCATTTAATTTGACCACATATCGTACCAGCATTGGATCACCAACACCGGAAAAAGATTTGGCGACATTCATAGATCAAATGCAGCGGGTGGCATTGCAGGTGAGTAAATGGGCGGAATGGAGAGGGAAGGTACTCTGTTGTATGGTAAAATAAATTGTAAAGATAATTGATGAGGATTCATTATATCGAATAGAAAATGGAATACTCCAAAATACGAAGGGGGTTTAACGGAGGTTTGGAAATTATTAAATATCAGAATTTAAAAATTTTGATTTGATAACCAATAAAAAATAATTTTCAAAGAACAATCGGTCGTGGATTTTTTATATCCGTATTTAACTAAATTATCTCCACCTTACACAAGAGACTCGAAGCAAGACATTCACTTTCTTTATTGTAATAAAATCCATTTTCACTGACGTGAACCAACGAACGATTGAACTAAAAGGAGCCAAATGACCTAGTTGCTTTAGGTGAGAAAACTGACAACGATCGAACCGCTTCATGAACGAAGTTTCCCGACTACAATAATGTGAACAGTGATTTGGACCTCCGAAAAAATGTTTTTTTTTTTTTGCAAAAATCACCTACAAACAGTGGAAAAAGTTGAACCCGAACATATCACATGTGACAATAGAAAAAAAAACGTATCTAAAATGAACTGTATACAAAAATGGATCCGTGTGTAACTAAATTATCTCCAACTTACAGAAGAGACTCGCAGCAAGACATTCGCCTTCTTTATTGTAATAAAATCCCTGTTCACTAACGTTAACCAACGAACGATTAAACTGAATTTGGAACTAAAGGAACCTAGTTCCTTTTGATGTGAGAACTGAAAACGATCGAACCGATGATTTGGACCTCCGAAAAATGAGGTTCTCAAAAACCTCCCACAAATTGTGGAGAAAATTAATTAAATGCAAACATACCACATGTGGCAAAACAAAAATCTTAAGTGGACTGAACACAAAAAATAGATCCCTGTTTAACTAAATTATCTCAAACTTACACAAGAGACCCGCAGCAAGACATTCGCCTTCTTTATTGTAATAAAATCCATGTTCACTAACGTGAACCAACGAACGATTGAACTAATATGAACTATGGAACCAAATGACCTAGTTTCATTTTATGGGAGAACTGAATCGAACCGCTTCATGAACGAAATTCCCCAGCTCCAACAATGCGAACTGTGATGAGGACCTACAAAAAACTTTGTTGTTCTCAAAACATCAATAGAAAAAATCTTATCTTAAGTGGACGGATACAAAAATAGATCAGTTTTTAACTAATTATCTCCACCTTACACAGGAGATCCCACAGCAAGACATTCTCTTGTATTCAAAAATCCATGCCCGTTGAGCGAACAACGTCAAGGAAGTTATGTGGTTTTTTCTTCGAAGTACCAGATTTTATTATTATTCGGCTCGAAGGACCAAGTGTAAAATTGAGATATCCAGCTCGAAGGACCAAATGTTGAAGTCAGAATTTACAACCCAGTCACAATTTACAAAAGAAACTACATATGTGAGATCTACAAACAGAAGGGATAATGCTATGCAGTCAATATATCGAGGAGGACGTCTGGGTAAAGTGGCCTCTACTGACGAAGTTTGATAAGGGATTAAAATGCAGTAGAAAACAAGATAGAATGAAGAACTTTCTTATCCATAGCACCACCTGCAAGGAAAATCAAAGCTAAAGAAATGCATATTTGCTGCTTCTGTCTAGATCACAGAACGTACCAAAGATGTCTCAGACTTGCTACTGCACCCAAACGAGTTTTTCGAGAGCGAATGGCGATTGAAGATATATGAAAATAAATAATTGAAACGATGCTTAAGCTATAGGCATGATATGGCGGAACTAGAAGCATGGTATATGAAGCTTGATTGTACCCTGAAGGTAGCTGAAGACTTCAATGTTTGCCCCAAAGAAATTTGCCAGTTGACCAGTTCGAATTGAAGGCACCTCAGGTGCAAATTGAAGGCATCTCATCAGTAAGCGACTGAATATAATTTACTCTTAATTTTCCTGTAGATGTCAAGTGAAAAATGGAGCTAGGACGTAACCTGAAAAATATTTGTCTTAAAGAAATGTTGCAGTCAATAAACAATCAGTTACAACGGGATATAAGAGTAAAGTATGAAGAGACTGAGCATAAATGTCGTGATCTGAAAAAAAACAGGTACATGAACTCATATCCATGAAATGAAAAAAACCTCAGTTAATAAACTCAAGTCCAATTTGGTGACATCTGAAGGGAAACCGCTTACAGCAATTCTTGAATGTTTAAGAAAGGCTACTATCCAAAAGTTTTGATTCTTCCGAGGAGCTGAGACCAAGCGTGATGAGTTGGCCAGGCAAATGGTTAGTAAGGAGCATCAAAGGATAAATAGGAGACTATATATACAGGTCGAGTTGAGGTTGCGATGAAAAAGAGTGTGTTCAGATGGATGCAGAAGGAGTAGTTCAATGAAAGTAGACCTTGCCGAGATAGTAGAAGAACCCATGAAGAGTTTGGTAATCTAATCTAACTCAAACATGGCAATTGCAATAGTAAAAATTGAAAACCTTGGAAGACGAAGCTAAAGAAACTTCTGAAGGTTAAGCTTCTTCGGAAAATATCTCGTCAATCAGCTAAGCATGGACGTGATGATTTAGGCGGGTAAATGGTCGCCAGTGTTAATAAGGAGCAACAGAAGGTACATGGAAGACCACAAAAAAGAACTTTAAAATTCCCAGAAAGAAATTCGAGCTAATGGTGCGATGAATAATGTGACATAAAATATATGTGTCAAAGGTGGTCAGATGCTGTTAATTATGAATATTCCGATCAGTATCTGTTGGAATTTAACTTCTCTCCATCGACAAACAATGCTGACCACCAATAAATCAAACACACGGACGATACAGTGTGCATAAAATCTTAATATAAAAGCAAGTTTACAGATATACACTGGAAAATGGTTTCTTTTATTAAGATTTCCTTGTGTTTTCGGTATTTTCTTTTATTCAAGTAACCATGCTTATATTGTAACTTATCAATGTAGGGTTCTCTAATTAACCTAAAATATATGTGTTTGCCAAGCTAAAAATATTCAACAGGATCAGTCTGCATTGCTTTTGGGATTATGATTTCCTTGTGTTGGCCGGCTCAGCCGACCCCTCCTCAGCTTATATTCCTCCTGTTCAATATTTTCATACTTTCTAAGAAGACATTAAGAATGACAACATTATTCCAGCTACATGGAACATTCACAATGTCCACATAGATTTCATGTAATTGACCTGGTTACCCAGGTAAATCGAAACCGAAGCAACCTCAACCATTTCCGTATAGGCCAAAACGCATTTGAGATAACAAAGCTCTCTATACGACAATATTTACGGCATAAACAATTTAATTCCCATGTGGTGTTGTTGGACAATGTAGCCTTCTCCTCCTAACCTCTAACACTCCACATCTATGAAGGGTTACACTAGTTATTACCTATTTTTTTGCTGTTGTGTTTGGGTTCCATCTGTCTCTCGGCAACCCGGAGAGGTGTAATGCGACTCCAGTATCTGGAATGCAATTGAATGGCTTGCAAAACAAAACTACAACAGCAAGAGCAACAACTTACAATCATCATTCCAATCTCTGGGAGACTCATATGAACTCATCGAAAATAGTAAACTAATTGGTTGGAGGGTTGATGGGTTGGGCAGCCAAGAGCCAGACATTAGTTGCAAATGAAACAATGTGATTCTTTTTGTGTTCAGACTAGCCAGCCCGAAGTGTGACAGCTGGCCAGGAACAAAAAAATCAGTACTCAACTTGTTTTTAAAACCCCTTCTTCTATTGGGTCCACACATGCATAAGTGTTAGAATTTTTTGTTTTTAATTTCAGTTATTCTCTTCTTCTATTTGCTATTGTGTATTTTCTTTTTTCGATTAAAAACTTGTACAAACTTGTTACCATTTATTATCTGCAGATACAAGACGTGGCAACATCCTCACGTATGACAACACTTGGCAGTCGTTCGAAACGTTTGCAATCGTCCATACTGCAGCCACTGGAGCAGTTGCAAAATGAAATACTTTATCATTTGACAGCATTGGAATTGCAAAGGGACCCCTGGGCTAAACAGGTCAATCAGACACTGAATCATTTGCGCAACATACAGGAATACCTGGAGAAGACGGCCGGCGAGATATGTGACAATCAGACACGAATCTATACCGAAAGGTAAACAAAGAAAATAATTCAAATTGGACTTGATTTATTTTCTCGCGCTCTTTCAGACTGAAAACCTATTTGGCCAGCGACAAGGCCACAATGTCTTCACAATTGGGTGATACCACGGCCAAGTGTCGTCCCTTCTTTGATATCTTTGATGCAAATCGTATATTTCTTTGCCGAAATATGATCGATTTCATCAATGCCCTGTGGTTCTTCCCCTTTTTGACATTGCTACTGTGGTCCGTTGCCACGCCCGTGGGTTTAAATCTGATTACGCTGCAGCGTAAATTGACCACGCTGAAACAGATACGCATGCGTGGTGGCGCTGAACGTGGCCGAAGGCGGGAACGTGATTCGAGTACGTCGCGGGAACGTAGCACAAGTAGTGGTCGAAGGAAACCGGCACCATTGTAAGTAAAAAAAATTACCCAAGGTTTGATTCTTTCAAAATATTAATAATTATTTCCATATCAGGCGTCGAACAGCCACCGAAGAAACTCTAGACATAGATGACATTGATGCGGTGGGTCAGCAAACCCCTGTACGCAGTCGTAGTCAACCGTAAGTTTTTTAGGGAACTTCAAATTCCTTGAGATTTTAATAATTCATTTTCATTACAGTAGACGCCCTGAACCAGAACAGGAAGATAATTGGCGTTCATCTGGCCCGATACGTGCCCCATCCCGTGATCGCAGTTCATATGAACGGGAACAGCCACGTGCCAAACCACCCATGTAAGTAGTAAGGCATTTAGGAAATCTGTGTGCGTTGTTCTGAAACGAACTAGTTCAAATGAACCATTCCGCAAAAGGAACGATCGGTACTAGTTGCGGTTCTTTAGTTTCTTTTGATCCAATCGTTCGCCTAGATCTTATAGTTCATTACGTGAAAGAAAGATTGCACTAATAGGAACTGTGGAACTAAATGACCAAGTTGCTTTTAATGAAGAACCAAAACGATCGAACCGCTTCATGAAGGAAATTGTCTAATTCTGCAATGCGAATTGTTAATTGTTCCTTCAAAATTGTTTACAAAAATCTCCAACAATTCCTATTGGGTCTATTCTCACATCTACAGCAGTCCAATATTTCCCAACCGTATTTTGCTTCTTAGATCGGCTAGCACTTCTAACAAATGTTCGGTGTAAATCAGGCATTAGCTCATCGATTTACAAATCGAATCGATTTAAAAGGCATATTCTAAAGGCGCTTTAAGAATTAATATTCCTTTAAATTTCCCCAGGCGCCGCCAAGGTACCGAAGAATTCAATTTGGACGATGAAGGCCAGCCGGCCTCATATGGCCGCGAAAGAAGTCGAGAACCGAGAGCACCAAGTCGACAGCAGCAGCAGGAACGTTCACAAGGTCCGAAATTCAAGCCTGCCTTGTAAGTAAATAATACAAAAATTTGAGGCCCTGTTATACCCTATTAATAATAGTTTATAAAAATTGTTTGGATATTTTTGGTGTTCAATAAATTGATGTTCTGTTGGTATTGGTATTTTTATGGAACTGTATTTTTGTTTTTTTTATGTTGTAGATAGATTGTCGTCCCTTCAATACTGCTCTATCATGATATGTGGGATGTAATGTCTTATCAAAAATGCTCTATTGAAGTGCAGTCTGATAGTTCCGTAATACATTTTACACCAACACTACAACGTACAATTTTGCATTCCGCCACTCCAACTCAAGAATTCCAGTGTAGCTGAAACCAGAATCCTTTCAATTCTGTCGCCTTCTGCCCTAACATATATGACTATATTCGTATCAATATAGTCATCTATGTTATCATCAATAATCCCGCATTTTAGAGCAAATCTGTCTGTCAAAAGCTACAAAGGTGCATAAAAGCAGGTACCAGCATCTTCTGTGTCTTTCCATGTCTATATCGCATCGTAAAAGGAATCCACTTGGAAGCTTTCTCCAACGCCCTATTTTGCAATCCATCACTGCGGTCTGATAGTTCAGTAAATTCGTTTACAGCAAATCGTGTATCATAAGCAACGAAAGTAAACCTGGAGTTTTGATACCGGCATCTTTTGAATACTTCAACGTCGATATTTAAACGAATATCATCCTCCACAGTTTTATTTTGAAGTCCGTCACTCCTACTCAAGAATTCCAGTGCAGCTGAGACCAGGACCCTTCCTTTTCATGAATGACTCTATTCGTCTGCCATCTGATAGTTCCATAATAGCTTTTACAGCACATCGTATGTCATAAGCTGTTTGTTTGGTACCGGCATCTTCTGAGTCCGATATCTAAACGAAGAGCATTCTCCACCGCCCTATTTTTCAGTCCATCACACAAGAATACTAAGGAATTCCAATGCACTTGAAACCAGGACTCTGACAATTCGGTTGCCTTCCCCATATAAATGCCGTCTGATAGTTCCGTCTTAACTAAATGTTAGATCACTCAGGCCAGTTACCCTTCGCTTCCACTTCCCATTCCGTTCCATCGTTCATGAGATGTCAAACCAAACTGAATAGCCAAGGCAATTTTCGGTCGGATAATCTGTCGATATTTCAATAGCTTTACTTTGAGAGTTTGCCGTCACGCATTTATGATAGCTGAAGTCCTTTTTTTGCTCTATTCGGAATAAAATCCGTCACTCCCACTCAAGAATATCAGTCGTGTCATTGTTCGGTTCTGACAAAATGTTAGTGCATTGAAGCCTACATAATAACCAGTTGCCCTTCACTTCCACTTCCTAAGCCGCTTCATCTTATGACATGGGATATCAAACCAAACTGGAAAGGCATTGGCAATTACCGGTCGTATAATCTGTCGATATATCAATAGCTTTACTTCGAGCGTTTGCCCGCCATGCATCTTCAACAATCTATTATAGTTGAAGTCCATTTTTGCTCTAGTTGGGATAAAATCTATATGCTTGATGAAATCAAATTTTTGTCCTTCAACCATGATATTAAGACCAATTTGTAGGATCGACCGGTATTAAAACTCGGCAAAATATGTCGTCTCGATATCATTAAAGCCGATCACTTTTCGTCGTTTAACTGTAGACCTCATATGGTAAAATACCTATATAAAAACACCGGATAATCATTCAGCTGTGTCTCATCCTGTACTAGAAAGTGAACCTGTAAACTAATCATGATTGGGCAGTTTGTCACGCTAAAAAGGGCAGTATATATGTACCCGTTACCAATATTTTTCTTTTTATTTAATTTTACGTGTTGAGATTTTTTTGTTTTTTTTTTCATTTGTTTAATTTGTTTGTGTATTATCTATTTTCTAAATATTATTAAATGTGTTGTTATATGTATGCATGTTAAATATATATTAGACGAAGACAAGGCACCGAAGAATTTAATTTAAACGATGAAGATACGGGCACATATTCACGTGAACGTAGCCAACCTAGGGCACCCAGCAGTAGTAGACAACAACAGCCACGTATACAAGCCCCAAGCAAATTCATACCAGTCTTGTAAGTTTCGGAAAAACTGTTTATTCGGAAAATGTATTGCCAGTCCATGAAGTAGATGCACAAATGGGGGAGACACATACAAGGAGTCCAGGCATGCTTCTTTATGTGGTTTTGTAAAATGTAAAGAAAAACAAAAGGATAATGGCGCCCAATTTCAAATTTGACTCTGCCATTCCTTTATAAACTGGTATTTAATACAATTCAACTTAAAGAAGCTTGCCTGAAATCTTTGTATAGGTCCCCACGCCTTAAGCCTTCCAGCGTTTTATGTTAATTATTATTTTTGTTAAATGTTTACCCTTTTTGCAAAACTATAAGGCGAAGACAGGGTACTGAAGAATTTAATTTAGATGATGATAATACGGGTACATATTCCCAGCAACGTAATCAATCTAGAGAACCTAGCAGTAGTCGACTACAACCAAGGGCACCACCTCCAACCAGCGCCAAATCAGTACCGGTCTTGTAAGTTTTTTTTAATTCCGAAAAAAAATGTAGAAGTGCTAGTGGTAAATTATTTAAAAATATTTTTTTTTAATTATAATCTCCATCCCGCAATATTTTTATTTCGAAAAAAAACCTCACCGAATATTTTAGACGAAGACAAGGTACTGAAGAATTTAATTTAGATGATGATGGGCCGGACGGCTCATCTACCCAGCAACGTAATCAATCACGTGCACCCAGCAATAGTAGGCAACAACGTCCTGTACCACCACCAAAAAGTGCCAAATCAGTACCTGTCTTGTAAGTTTTTTTGGAATATTTTCAAGAAAATGAGTAAAGGCTAGAGTAAAGAAAGTAGCAAATTTTTTACGCTTTGCTTCTATGTTTCCTTATGTGGTCCGTTTTTTTAATTTTATTATAAAAACCTCAGACGAAGACAGGGTACCGAAGAATTTAATATGGATAACGACGATATGGCCCCATATGAACGTGAACGTAGCCAGCCCAGAGGCATGGCTAGTAGCAGTAGGCCACAACAACGGGCCCAGTCACAGCAAACGTCTAAACCTGTAATGTGAGTTTATGTGATATGATTTTTCTTATTTTTAATTAAATTAATTTCCCAAAAACCAAAATTATCTTACTGTTCCAATATATAATGAGAGAACCAAAACGTGGCTGTGTGGGTGGATTTTTAATTGTAATGTATGGCTTGTTGTATGTGTTGTGTTCAAAATTCCCCCTTTTGTGACTAATTAATCTCTTTTTCCTATTTACAGTTTTTGATATAATGCTCTCCTGACACTCACTCTTCTCTTAGTACTCAATACCCTTTGTTGGAAATGTTTGAGAACCTGTTGTTATTCTGTTTTTGTTTTAAATCCCATTAACTTGTCAAAAGTTTTGTATTTTTTAAATTACTAAGTTTTTTGACAGTTCAAAGTGACAATCAGCTGTTCTTCTTGTGCTATAATTACACCAAGGAGCGATCAGCTGTTTCTCTTGTGCTATGTTTACATTAAAGGTGTTGTAAAATAAATTGAATAATTTAAATTGTCATTTACTTATGCTACATCTACATCAAACTAATTTTTATGTAAAAATATATTGTTCCAGAACCTTCAAGTAATTTTTTAATTTTTTCTAATACATTTCAATGGAATGGAATAGAAGCAATATACATTTTCCTGTGCAAATAAAAATTGTAAAACTGATTTTAGATTTACGGAACCCATTCGATCTACAATGTCAAAATCCAATAGAATTTTTGTCAAATTAAACGGCATGTACATTAGAAGCTTCTGACGGGTTAACCTACATTGTGAAGATTTATTTGACATATATGTAATGGAATTGACAATTAAAACCCACTACGATCCTCCTCTATGAAGTCCCATATGTTTTTTTAGTATTCACTTGACGTATTTGCTATGGAATTGACATTCTAAATCGAATGAATTTGGTAGTCTAAATGCTCTCTAAGTTTTGTCAAATAAATGACATATCAAGCCATAACACATTTGATGTAAACATAGCGTATTTAATGACTCAATCAAGGCCTATTAATAAGGTCTCCAAGTAAGCGAAAGACAGTTGTTTAATGGCTGTAGTTTAATGCCAAAAATTTGGACCATGTTTACGTTTTCATAATGGAAGTCTATTCACAATAATGGATTTTGACAACAAACTTGAGGATCAGCTGATATGCAGCTGGTCTACCTTGAGGTCCTCCAGAAAGATCAGCCGCATATCAGCTGCTTGTCAAGTTTGCTGTCAAAATTCATAATTGTGAATAGAGTTCCATTATGAACATGAAAACATCCTCCAAATTTTGACATTAAACTAGAGCCTTCAAAGTCAACATTTTTGACATTAGACTTGAGAAAAATAAAACAGCTGACTTTAGCTTGATGGGTTACCTTATTAATAGATCATGGACATATTGAATCGATTTTGTATCTATAGTTTTCTCCCTCTCTCAAGTTCAAATTTTCCACAGTTCTCCCAAGAATTTCTCTATTTAAAAAATTTCGCATTGAATCCTAAATAAATTATTATTATTAGGCGCCGTCGAGGTACTGAAGAATTTAATTTAGACGATGAAGATAATAATTGGCGTTCGCCACAAGACACTCGAGGTCGCAGTGAACCCCGCCGTGGTGATATGCGTTCACAGAGATCTATGACACCGGTTCTTTCGGTCCGACCCGATGTACAACCGGCACAGCCGATGCCACGTACGCCACCGCGACTGAAATCTCGAGTCTCGTTGACCACAAGGGCCGTGGCAAATATCGTGAAAAATCGCAGTCAAGCTGCTGCTGGCCGGCAAGGATTGTAAGTAATTTATTTTTTAATATTTCAATTTAATAATATTAAACAAGAGATTATATAGGATATGTTTACATCAAATCAGTTTTAATAGAATACGGCATTTAGATTGTCAATTTCATTGATTATATATCAAGAAATTTTTAGATTTTTGGAAAATCAGAAATTTAGCCAACAGTGTGAATAAAATTTTAAGGGAATATTTTACAGGGTTGTATTTTATAGAACTTATACTAGGTTTACATCAAATGTTTTTTAATAAAACACGTCATTTAGATTGTCAATTTCATTGATTATATGTCAAATAAATGATGCATTTTCGCAAAACGGGTAATTAAACGCCGAATGTGAATGACATTTAAGGGAATAGGTTACAGAGTTGTATTTTATTCAACTTATATTATGTTTACATCGAATGTGTTTTAGTAATGATGTTTTTTTAATGAGATTTAATAAAGGATAATAAAATGAATGATAGTTTATATCTAAAGTAAGTTTAAAATAAACATAACCTTACAATTTCTTTTGAGTACGTTTACATTATACCTATTATTACGATATAGATTTGTATGTAAATACATTTATAGACACACATAAAAATATATATTTTATTTTAAATGACAATATTAATTAATATTTTCACTAAAGAACTCTTTTTTGTTAATTATTGTAAGAATGAGTATTTGGCATTTATTACAAACAATTGACAGCATAAATGACTTGATTTATTAATACAAATTTAATGTATACAAGTTTACCGTAAAGAAGTGATATAATTACATCAAACCTTCTTTAATAAAACCCTTCATTTAGAATTTCATCTCACCTGATCAAAGAAGAAGAACTGAATACCAGCTGATTAAGTCACTGTAGTCTTTTTGTTAGAAGTTTTAATAAAAAATAGACATATTATGATAATAATAGAAATATTTTTATTATTTCATTTGCAGGAGACGTCGAGATACTGAAGATTTCGAAATCGATGATGATAATACATATAGTACTGCCACCAGACAAGCCGTAGAAGCGTAAGTCTTGGAAAATTAAACAATCTTAAAATTCTGTCATTAATTATGCCCCCTCTCTTTTCAGAGCTCGAAGAACACCGCCACGATCGGCTCCACCACCACCGCCACCACCCGCAAACAGGTTCTCTCGTTATTAAAAACAAAACATTTTTGCTTTGAATTTTGGTTTTTGTTAGAATCCGGCCAAAAATTGACCAACAAGAAAAACAACATCACAGTAACGAATATCCCTACATATCTCATTATTTATCTTCTTTCTCTTTCTTTTCAACTCCACAAAAAAAACCGACAACAAAAACCACAACAATATCTAGATTTAGTGATGTTCGCAGTGTACGCTGGACCTCTAAAAATGATGATATTGTTTTCGAAGATTGTGACTCAGCGAATCCCATGTATATGATTCATGATCTTGACGAATAAAGGACACAATTTCCATCTATCTATACAACAACAAATAAAGAACATAAACAACAAGACATAATTATTTATTTATTTCAGAGTTGCATTTGATAGATATCTCAAGGAGATATATTGGGTCAAATGAATAATTATGTATTGCTGGTGTTCTTTTCAAAATGCCCACATGCACGATTTTACCACAAAAATATTCACTTTTTTAAGAGGTTTACCTTTTTTTGTAAGCATAACCAAAAACAAAAAACTGAATTCTAGTTTTATTTATATTTAAGTCAAAAATAATAGAATGTAACTTTAAAGAAAATTGAAATTATTTACGGATTTTTTTTTTGCTAGCAATTAAGAGTATAATAACTATATATTATTAAATAAATTAAATCGATAAAAATGTGTGGTTTTTTATTTACATTGTGTAAAAGCTACTAGTTTTTATAAAAATCCACAAATTAACGACGTTTTCATTGTGCCCGTTAACAACAAAGCCAAGCCTTTTATTGTAAAGCAGTTGTAATATATAAAGAAAATAAAAAAATTTACGGAATTTATTACTAGAGTTAGGAGAATAATAATTGATAATAATAAATCAATTTAAAAAACTATCTGTTTTTTATTTAAATAGAGTGAAAACTACTGGTTTTTATATAAATCCGTCAAATTGCAACGTTTTCATTGTGCCCGTTAACAACTAAGCCAAGCTTTGTATTATAACGCCGTTGCATAAAGAAAACAAAATATTTACGGATTTTTTTGCTAGTTTTGAAGGCTATAATAATTTAATAATAATATCAAATTAAAAAAGTAGGTATTTTTATTTAAATTGTGTGAAAACTACTAGTTTTTATAAAATTCCACAAAATAATGACGTCTTCATTGTGCCCGTTAACAACTAATCCAAGCTTTGTACTGTAACGCCGTTGCAATTTCGTGTAGGCAACATATCCATGCTATCAATGCACAGTGAGTGCGAGAATGCTTCTTCTTTTCATACACACAACAAAAACCCCTCAACCAAATCTGTCACAAACTCGGAACAAGAGATTATAAACAACTAGAAAAAAGACGGTATAATAATAAAATTATACAAAATTTAGAGATAAAATAATCAAATTAGAAAACTAAAGATAAAAATGGGTGTAAACAAAGCTACAATTTCAATAAAATTTGCATTTTTCTAAAACGCCAAATAATTCTCCTTCAAGTTGACAAGTGCAGTGTTCATTACTCTTCTCTCTGTGCCTCGTCTGTGTGTTCACAAAAAGAAAGAAACAAAAATCTTCAAGGAACAGAAACTGGAGGAAAATATAAGAAATTTTATTTCATATTTGTGTTTAATTTAATAAAAAACAACGTAAGTTTATAAAAATTGTGTAAAATTTATTAAAAATACATCTGTGTGTGTGTGTTTAGCCTTTGGGAATTTCCTTGTCCATAAAGCAGGGTATTAACCTGAATTTATCCTGAAATAACTATGTGAATAATGATGAATGCACTTTGTGGAAAATTGTATGAATGTGCGGGTGTGTGTGTGCCTTAGTGTCTGTATGCAATACCACTATTATGTGATGATTCTAAAAAATCTTCTACTAAATTAAACAAAGACGAAAACGAAGTGTGTAATGTATGTATGTTTGTACGGTGGTGTGGTGGTGAATGGTGATGATGTTGACCAGTACAACGTAAAATCACTTGTTTGTCCATATGCCTATTGTTGTCGTTGCAGTTCTACTCCTCCTGCTGCTTCTTGTCACCCTGAACGTCCCATCAGCATATTATTTATGATGGTGGTCATTTATTAATAACACACATAACAAGTGTCTGAAAGAAATGAATGTCTAAACGTATATCATCATCGTATGCAGTATATAAAACGAAAATTTGTTTTTAATTACAAGTAGGCTAAATGTGTTTTAGAGCCAAAAAAATATTTTGTTTAGAATTTAAAGATTTCGTTCTCAAAATTTGCAATTTTCATTTCAATTTTACATGTCAAACCGAGTTTCGTTTATTATTTAGTTCATTAACCTTTTGCTTGTTAGCACCTTGTTGCTGTTTTTGTTGTTTTTATTTTTGTTTACACTTCTAACCGGCCCATCTGCTGCCTACACTTGATTTTGATTTCTACAGTGTTCAGTATGCAAATAATAACATGTGTCTGTTGCTGTTTTTGTTTTGTTTTTTTTGGTTGCTATTTCGTGACGTTTCGTTAGTCATAGACTAAAACACAGGGTGTTGCAAAAATACATATAGATTTTTTTATTACTATTTAATTTGATTTATTGTTTTATGTACTTATTTTTAATGGTTCAATCTTTTCATTATTTCTATTTGATTGTTTTAATTGAAGTCGCAATAATAAAACACAAAAAATCCCCTTCATCTTAATGTGAGAAACCAAAAATCCCCTTTACCTTCAAAGAATATGTGCTTTCTCTCAGCCACAATACAAATATAACGTTAGTGGTTAAATGTCAGTTATAGCGTATATCTGAATCCATAATTTCAATTGATTCATAATCGTATATTCTTCTCTGCATAATTGCATTGCCTTAATAGGTTTTGTTATCAATATAAATATATTTAAATGACAAAGATCAGAGTCAATCTAATATGAACGCAAAGGCTTGTCTTTATTTATTCTCTCCCTTCATTACAACGGAATGACTGTATCACTCTCTCTCCTTTTTAGAGGAGAGAGAGAGATGAAGCAGCAAAAGAAGTTATGACAATTGGAGGAATCATGTGATTGAACAAGAACAAAGAAATAGATCAGTGTTGTGAAATTCTTAAATAAGCATAATTTTTTTAAAGCCTTTATTATATATGTTTCAATAAATTTTTAATGGAAAAAAATATTGTTTTGAAATATAATTATAAATGAAATTATTAACAAAAATAAATTTACACCACATTCAGTGACACTGTGTCACTCTCATATATAAAGAGAGAGCAAGCAAAATGGAGTTGTGACAATTGACATATCATGTGATTGAACAAGAACAAAGAAATAGAATAGTGTTGTGAAATTATGCATGAATTATACATTTATTTGAGTAGTTTATATTAATTCAGAATATAAGAATATTTTAATCATCATCATCTCGATAATAACGGAAAATAATTTCCCTTACGTTCATAAATGACATGCCCAAGTCATGCCTTTATTTCTTTACGCCGTTAAAACGGAATGACTGTATCACTCTCAACTATTTAGAGAGAGCAAGCCAAAGTAAGTTATGACAGTTATCCAATCAGGTGATTGGACAACAAGGAGACAATCAAATATATCAGTGCTGTGCAATTCTTAAATTAGAATAATTATTTTAAATCCTTATAATATTTGAAGTACTTATATTAATAGAGAATATATTTTGAATTTTCATCACCACAACGACAATGCTTACCTTGCATTCAGAGAGTACATGAAGTTAAGACAATTTGTCTATAACGGAAAAGACTTGTTCTCTCATGTAGAGAGAAAACAAAGTTATGACAGTTAAAAACAGTCATCTGATTAAAAAAAGGCGCGGGAAACAGCAGTTTAAATGAGTTGCACAATTCTTAATCATTTTTTATTTTTTTAATAGATAATTTTTATGGAAATTACTTTATTTCACATGCAGAGAGCAAATAATATTGACACAATTTTGATTAATCAATGAAATGTCATCAAATAAACCAAAAAAAGTCCAGATTCTTAGATTTAATATCATTGCTGAAATGAGGATGAGGAGCACATCAGAATGACTTCCCTTTAAAAAATCTAGATTTTTGGTGGGAAAATAATGAAATATCTACTGTTAAGCAAGTTATTCATTTCAAATTGAAAAATGTAATCAATCATTTACAATATATTTCTTTCCAGAAATTCCAAATCCACTCTACGCACCCACCCATTATTCTGATGAACATGCTACTGACCTAGCACAATATTTAAATAAGCAAATAGCTTAATGAAAAACACCTGTTGTGTGGAAAGTAAAGGAAAATACAACAAAGCTATTTGTGCACATTCACCTTACACACAATCCCTGTATTCATATATATACATAATAACAAAAAACAATCCAAAACCATCAACAGCTTTAATTCATTCATAAAAAAGACAATATGACAACAATACCAAAAACAAATTTATATCTTTCCTTTTATAACAAAAAAATCAAATGTCAATGGCTTTAAGTGTGTCAAATGACCATATTTAGGCAAATCAGCGGCATTGAATGCTTTGCTTTTTAACACATTACAATCTATTCTGTTCTAGTTGCTGCAGTGTTGCGTTCAATCATGTTGATGCATTTTTTTATTTATTTTTCTTTTATTTTGTAATTACAGCCAAACAAAATGAGCTTCCACAGTCGCAGTTCCAGTGAAATCGAAACCATACCATATGGTGAGATTTTGTTAACATTTGTCAAAGATTTTGAAAAAGATTTCGATTTTGCCGATGTCAAGGAAAAATTACGTGATCTTTTTCTCAAACCGGAATTGGATTATATTGAAGAAGCAGTAAGTAATTATTTTGAAATTCTTTTAAATATTTTTATTTAATTATTTTTTGTATTTCAGAAAGGCAAAGAACAAATTTTACACTTAATATGGGTATTGGCAATAAAACCAGATGATTTGGTTATGCAATTCTTAGATGCCATTGCCTATGACTATCCATGGATTGTGGATAAAATAAAAAGTGAATTTGTTATACATGGTGCGTATACAGAATTGTATATGGAAAAGTTGCGTACCATACAAAGTAATAATGAACTGCATACGCAATATAATGTACATCGTACTAAGCCGGTAAGTATGCAATGTATTTTATTAAAAAAAATTAGTTTTTAGAATTTTATGAAGGAGAAAAATTAATTCAAAATGTATAAAAAACTATTGGCTTCAGTTTCGTGTTAGCCTCAATACAATGGGTACACTATTTGGTATTTTGGCTCTAATTAATCTTCAAAATTAGTAGATCTTTGGGTATATGTCCGACATAAAGGTCCAACCCCTTTTTACATGATTATTTTGTTATATTTTTAACTGTATATTTCTTTTTGTTTTCTAGTTTATGGAATTATCCCGCAAACTTCGACGCCTCAATCCCAAAATAACCCACAATACTGTTGTACTACTGGGCGATCTGGGTAGTGGTAAAAAATGGTTAGCCCTTGATGTCTGTTCCGATTTTACTGTTATGAAACATATGGATTTTAATATATTCTGGATTGATTGTATCAAATGTACAAATGCCCAAGAAGATTATCTGGCCCTTCGACAATTAATGTTTAAATTAAATCGTGATTTTGATTTTCTAAATGAAAATATAAATGCTACCAATATTACCCATAAAATCGCATCGCTTAAAGCAAAAATTCAAAATTTATTAGAATCAAAAGAATATAAAAACTGTCTCATCGTACTGGCAAATGTACAAAATACCAAAGCTGAAGCGGTCTTCAAATTTGTGTGTAAACGTTTGATAATAACCCGGAATCAAAAGGTCTACGATACCCTACCGGATAAGGTGAATCTAAAAATGAAATTAAGCGAAGAGATGACCCTAAAAGAATTTCATTTTATGTTGGACAAGTACATAAGGAAATATAAATGGCGTGAAGTGAATCCGTCCTATGCCAATGATATCTTTTATGCCAGTAATGCTGATCCATATATTTTGAGTATAATTGCCAGACAATTGCAATACAAAAGATCCAATTGGGATGAATGGAAAAGGAATTTGGATACCTTGCAGTGAGTATTAATAATTTTAATACTAAGAAGACATAATAAATGTTTTAATTTTTTATAGGATCCCCGATGACAAATTCAAACGGGACATAGAAAATTCCTTATCATCATTGTCACCCGATCAATTGCAATTGTATGCCACCTTATCAATATTTCCACATTGTGCTGAAATACCAGTCAAGGTAAGGGAAATTAAATTTATTATTTTATTAATTATTATCGTTTTTCTTTTTGTCCCTTAGCTCCTTGCAAACTTATGGCAAAAATCCCTCAACGAAACTGAAAAAATCATTGATAAATTCCATAGCAAATCATTTGTCAAAAAGAAGTTATTGAGCGATGATGATACGACCGTTTGTAGTTTAAAATATGTCTATAGTTCGTACATAAAAAACTGTCCGAATATACAAAAACTCATCAATGCCCAGCAATTGCATAGGGCTGTTATTGATTATTACAAGTAAGTGAAGGAATTTTTATTTAACTCATTTAAATTACTATTTTTATCCCTCCCAGGGTCCAAGAACATTTGGATATACGCAAAGATGTCGATTTATATTTTGCCACGGAACATGATAATTATTTCTTTCAATGTCTGGGCTATCATTTATATGGCGCCAAGTATATAAATCTCTTTCATCGGCTTTATACAGATTTTGGTTTTTTGGGACAAAAAATGCGTCATGTTGGATTGCGCAATACCATTGCGGATCTTAAATATTATGAAAATGAAATCATTGCGGATGGTCCAGTGAATATTGTAAAAAAGTTGATAATGTTTTTGCCCAAAGTGGAGGAGAAACTTTTGCATGCTCCCGATTGTTGTCTACTGCAATATGCCCTGCTGGCCAATGAGGAGGTTATAAAACAAATGGCCTTACAGCAGATACAGCAATTTCCACGAAGAATGTGGTTTTTGGAAACGTAAGGTTCATTACATTTCCTCGCATAAATTAAATAATTAATAATTTTTCTTTTGTCTCCAACTAGGGGCCGTTTCCATCAGCGACGTTTTATCCACAAGTTACACAGTAGCTGTAAATTGATACGCATTTTGGAATCCGATATTTGTATAGCAGTATTGCATAATAATGAAACCTATTTGGTGGATATTTCTCTGGAAACATTGTGTGAACATGTCCAATTGATTAGGCAATCACCGGTGAATATTATCGACATAAAACCTTTCAATGATACCAATCATTTGCTAACACTGGATTCAATGGGCCAACTGAAATTATGGAAAATTTCCGATGAAATTCGACGCATGATTGCCCAACGTCGTAATCCTGATGCCAATTTCAATCCAGATGAATACAAATTGTGCCCCCAACAAATACCCAGTTGCACGTTTAAACAGTGTATTAACGATGTCATTCCTGGGCTAAGACGTATCGTATCTTTTTACCTTGAATCTGCGGGTGACAATAAATTACATGTAGCCTTGGATAATGGCAATATTATAATACTCGATTTTACCACAGAGGAATTCCGCACCAACAACGGTTATATGCCATGCAAAACCGATATAATGGACATCAAGTGTGTATGCAAAATAAAAACCCATTGGATGATTTTGCACAACAGTGCAGAGACCCCAGTGGACATAACGTTCATAAATCAACGCAACACCGGCAAGGAGCAGATACGTTTCAATTGGTCCAGGGACCTCAAAAACTTTATCTACTACGAAGTGTGTGGTGATGACATTTTAATGGTCTTTCAAAATGCCATTGTACGTTTACGGCCCGAGTTCTATGCCGGCTATGTGGATGGTAGTGTGGAAGTGTTATTCGAAAACGATAATTTCAATATTACCTGTGCCAAATATTCCCTGACCTATAACTATCTGATGGTGGGGTCCAATCAAGGTCTCCACGTTTTCGATTTAGCCAAACCTCTGAAAGTTTTGGAGAGTATAGTTAGTGAAAATATCACTTCGATTGATATTTACGATTTGGACGATGAAGAATTCCAATGTATGGTCACATGTGGTTTGAAGCACAAGAAGATAATATATCTATTGGGCTTGTGCAAAACACCCGAAGGCAGGTTGGACTGGCAACACAATATTATGTACAATGCTGGCAATGATTTGGCAGTGGGTGAGCAGCTGGGTGCTGTACGTTTCAAGGGAAAACGGATGTTTGATGTGGCCTGCTATGATGGTGAGAATTTTATCTATGCCGTGGATAGTGAAAATCGAATTCATCAGATATCCACAACGGATGCCAAAAATTGGAAAATCCTCAATATAGTCAATGACAACGAAACACTGCCTGAGATAACTGCCATATGCTGTCATGGCCATAAAGTGTTTGTGGCCCTGAAGGGTGGTGGCATTTATGATGTACATCAACAAACATCGTTGGGAGTTTTTGGTGGAAGCTCTGAGATTATTAAACGTCTGAAATTAATTGATGGTGACATCCTAATTGCCACCTCCAATGAATTTAGTCACATAATTCCTCTCAACGATATTCCTCCGCTCTCGCCAAGTAAATTTGTGGTAGAATTTACCTATCCATTAATGGAGAATTTCTTTTTAATGGCCAATGTTTATGGGGCCGTTGTGGTAAGTGGGAGTGAGATATTTTAGCCATTATTTATTTTCAATAATGTAATGTAATTTAATATTATTTTCGTTTGCAGTTTATGACCAAAAATCTAAAACACCACAATCTAATTGAACCCCACAAAGGCCTGGCCGATTGCGATCTAAAGGGAAATTTATTGTTTTTGGGTTTCACTGATTTTCTAGTTAGGGTAAGTTAAAAAAAAAAAAACATATTTTTTTCAATATTTTGCTTACATTTTTAATTGATTTGTCTTTTCGTTTTCCAGATCTATACCCTAAAGGCCCATGAAACATTTATCGAATATAAATTAGTATGTGAAAAACAAGAAAATAACTGCCTGATAACCTGTTTAACTGCCTCAGCCAATGGACAATTATTTGCCGTTGGCTTAAATAAACCTCAGACTCAGCAGTCCTACGATGTCAACACCATATATCCTCAAGACTCAATAAATGCCAACAGTCACAACAATGCCAATCACCAACAACAAGTATCGTGTGGTGATATCAATGTCTACAAAATAATTAACATAGATGATAAGTTCACAATTGAAAAAATCTACTGCCTTAAATCTCACGTAAAACCCGTGCACGATATGCATTTCTCACCCTGCAACAGTGTGCTGGTTAGCATTTCCGAACAAATATGTTTTTGGAACATAACATTTGTACTCAACAACCCACTGACTGCCAATAATAAGAAACGCCATAGTTCAAGATTTTCATCACAACGCAGTGCCGAAGAAGTTGATGCCACACATGTTTTATGTGGCGGCCGTAAAATTCCTCCCATGATGCTTAACAGTGAAATGAAAAAGAAATCCTTTGCCAGAAGTTTCTCCATACAGGCTTCATTCGATTTGGAACTCAGCGGTGATGGTGAAGTTTTCGAAACTGTGCCGTCGGAACAAAACAAACCAAAAGATGATAGCTTTTGGCAATATCTAAGCGGTTCAGAAGATAAGCCGGAAATAATGTCATGTTATAAACTCGATGGCAATGAGGCCGTGCAATTATTTACCAATCGTGATTTTAGTCAATTCTATACAATCGATGATGAGGGTGTATATTATAATTTAAATATTATACAAATGGCAAATAGTTCACCGATGGTTAAAGAAAATTCCCCTGACACAGTTGATTTGGGTGACTATTCGATAGTAGATAATACGGCGGAGGCGGAAAATGCTAATAGACCATTGTACAAAGATATGCAACGTTTGTCGGTGGCATCCACCATATCCACCGGCCATGATGTTGTTGACAATTATCAGGCATGACAACCAATGGAATCAGCTGCCTCTACTGCCACCAACACCACCACCACATGGCAAAGTAAATTATCCCGTACTTATTACCTCCTCCATCTCCAAGACTATGCTAGTTATAGTATTCGCAATATATTATCGTCCCTTTTTATTGTATGTATTTTGTTATTATTTAGTCATTTCTTTGATTATGCATTTTTATGTGTTTGAAAAAAAATAGTTTTAGTCATTTTTTGTTTGTTTTTTTTTTAATATAAAAAATCACAAATTTATTAAGTAAAAATAAAAATAATAATAATTGTATCAAGCAATCGCAACATATTCTAAACAAAAAAAAAAATAATTAAAAAGTAAATTAGTAAAAATATGATAAAGTAACTGTGAAATTTTTATAAAAAAATAATTATATAAAAATAAAATTTATATATAAGCATTGTTACAAACAATTATGTACAATGGACAAAGACAATCCATGGCATTTGTTAATTGCTTGAAATGAGTAGAGTACAGAACGGGTTTGGCATTTTGGGGCATTTCGTAACAAATTTATATATTTGAAGAATTTAATATTTTTTTGTCTTGACTTCTAGGTCGCAGCTGAGTAGTGAGTAGCAGACCTACTGGTTTTAAACAATTTAAACAGCCTAGAGAGACTCGGGTTGTTTTAACGAACATACATTGGAAATGCTGTAGCCATCACCATCCTGTGGTACAGGGTATTATGCCTTTGTGTATATGTTTATAATAGGCAAAAGGAAACAAGATAGACCCATAGTTTGAGAATATGCGTGGAATCACTTTCCGAGTCGATTTATGCATGTCCATACGTCCATCTGTCTGTCCATGTTAAATTGTAATCAAATTGTAATGATCCGAATGAGATGAAATTTGGCAGAGCTCATTTATTTGGCCCAATGACGAACCCTATTCAAATTTGAGAAACATCGTATAAAATTTCATCTGATTTTAGGCAAATGGTGCACCAAACTCCCAAGGATTGTCCTATTGAGAATAAATTGGGCATGACGTATGGAATTGAGTCTAGGATAGAATGTGTTAAGTTTTATTGAAATCGGTTCAGATTTAGATATAGCTCCCATATATAATTTCGTTCGATTTGAGGTAAATCGATTTGATTGAGCCGACATTTGGCAAATTTTTGAATCAAAATACATGTGTGTTTAATTGTGTCATATATAACTTCCATATATATTTTCTCCCGATTTGAGGTAAATGGTACACAAAACGCCTAAATTAATGTGTGATTGAGACGAAATTTCACATAGTGTGTTTAATTGTGTCCAAAGTTTCGATAAATTACACAAAATCCCCAACATATATCTGATTAAATTTATATATACATATATATTTTTTTAATATCAAAATTATCTACTAAATTTTAAAGTAAAATGTCCAATTACCTCTTTCAAAACGATGAAAATATTTGCTGCAATCGATCATGACTTGAGTAATAAACCATACGTGACATTTTACATAAACACACAAAATGCTTTTCTACACAGAACACCAACATGCATTCGCATGTTAATAACAGGCCATTTCAAGATTAACATTGCTTTCTCTCTATTTTCTCTTTCTCATTTTTTGCAACATTCACTTGCACACGGGAACATCACACTTGTTTGCTTTTTCTCATTAATTTTCTCACAAAAGGGGAAACACATACATTCTATGTGTATGTCCTACAACAAACATTCTCACAAATGATTTTTTTGACATTTTTTTATGTCTCTTTTTTTCATTAATTACTCACTGAGCATGGGGAACACAAAAACAACAAAAGAGATTTTATCTCTCCTTAAAAAATTTCGCGCGCAAATGCTGTAAGCTTTTTTGCACACCTATGCACTAAGAGGGGATTTTCTTTCGTTAACACTCACACAGGCACACACATGCTCATTCGCGACTCTTGATTAATAAATTAACGAATTTTAGCAAATAAAAACACAATTTAAACGAAAAAAAATACTTCACAAATGCAAAACATCGACTTATTTATTGGATTCACAAACTTTTCTTTAAATTTTTTTTAGGATTCCCCGACACAAACTCGAAATAATCCCGAGCAATTTCAAGAGCGACCGTTTCTTACGACTGCGACGATAGAACTGATTTGACGGAGAGAGAATTCTGTGTGAAGGAACCGTAGAGCGAGGATCTTCGTCCAATTGGAATACGGTGCGAAAAGGATGACAATATACAAATTCAATAGGAAAAGGAATGGGAAATATATGTATTTTCTTAGCAGAGTTGCCATTTTGCACTAATTTGGAAGTGATGATGTAGAAATGATAAGGTTAAAGGGACAATGGTTTAAGAATTGTCTAATTACATTGAAATTGAAGAGTAACGTACGTAGATGAATGTTAAGACTGAATTTGAATACAATTAACAATGTTGCCACATAGGTGTGTGATAAAGCTGGATTTTTGAAAATTTGTGCTATAGCGGTACGAAAAGTACTAAAATGTACAAAAGTGACTACTTCCAATAGTCAACGTGCAGAAGAAACGGCTGAAGCTAGAATGTTTAAATTTTTCATGTGGGGAGTCAGGGTAGAATGTCTGTGATAAGTTTGTGCAAATTGGTACCGTAAGTGTATGAAAATAGTACCGAACAGTACAAAAAATTGTGAGTGAACGAAAAGGTCTTCTTAATGGAGCGTAGAGTAGAGGTACCAAAGGGTTTTTGGAAACTCATACTGAAAGTGTGCAAAAAGTACTAAAATGTAGATATAGAATTTTGAAATTTATAGTTCGTTTACATTTAACTGAAAGTGTGCAAAAATTACTAAAATGTAGATAAAGAATTTTGAAATTTAGTATGTAAAATGTTGTTGCAGTTTAGGGTTGAGACAAATAGGCGGCTTTTGAAAATTCGTACAATAAGCATATGAAATATTCTTAATTGTACTAAAATTAGTACATCTAGTAGTTAGTGAACGAATCAATCATTACTTATTAACTTTTATAGGTGGGTCACTTTTATTGTACATGTGTTTTATGTATTGGGTTGAGATAAGAAGTTTTTATTTATATTACATTTAATTCAATTGGTTTTGAGTGGATAAATATACCTGGGATCGTTAAATTTAATATTAGGTGGGTGAATAGGCCCCCGCCCCCCCCCCTTTGGAAATTTGGTTCCTATTTAAAATTTTCAATTCATATAAAATTTAATTTTTCATTTTCATACAAAAATTACATTAAAACGGAAACTCTGGCCCAAAAAACAGTCTATTCAATTTTCTATTACTTCCTTCAAATATTTTTTCTGCATAGTCATCCCTTTCGCACCGCATTCCAATTTGACGAAGATTCTCTCTAAGCTTCCTTAACATTTTGTGTCTTTTCGTCAAATCAGTTCTATTGTCGCAGTCTTATGAAACGGTCGCTTTTTAAAACTCTCTTGATTAATTGGTGTTTGTGTCGGGAAATCCTATGAAAATTAAAAGAAAAGTTTGTGAATCCAATAAATAAATCGGTGTTTTGCATTTCAGAAGTGTTTTCGGTTTTAAAATAGTATTTCATTTGCCAAAAAATCGCATATTTCGTATTCAAGAGTCGCGAGTGAGCGTGTGTGTGTGTTCGTTAACGAAAGAAAATCCCCTCTTAGATGCATTGTGTGTGTATTAAAGCTTACAGCATTTGCGCGCGAAAAGTTTTAAGGAGAGATAAATCTCTTTTGTTGTAGTTGTGTTCCCCACAGTTAATGAAAAAAGAGACATCAACGAATGTCAAAAAAATCATTTGTGAGAAAGTTTTTGTATGTGTTTCCCCTTTGTGAGAAAATTAATGAGAAAAAGCAAAAAAGTGTGATGTTCCCGTGCGCGAGTGAATTGAAAAATTAGAAAGAGAAAATAGAGAGAAGGCAATGTTAATCACATAGGAAGTAAATAAAAAATGTTAAAAATGATAACATACATCTGTTTAATGTTATTTACCTCTCTGTTAATGGCCCGTTTAAATAACGAGTGTTTGTGTGTGTGTCGGGTTTCTGTCAAATGTTGTGTTCTGCGAATAAAAAATATCATGTTTGATTAAGAGAGAGTTGTGTTATTGGTCGTAATTCATTTATTATTTCAGCGATCTCAAATAAGGTAAGTGGCATATACAAAAATTTCAATATTTGGAAATTGCCGTTTATTTTTAAATCGTATAGGTGGGATTTGGGCCGTGAATAGATCATTTGCCAAAGCAGAAAAAGTGCCAGTCAATGTTACCAATAGATTGAGGTATATATCTGTCGGCCTAAGGTCCGCAGAGGTCTGCGGAATTACACACAGGTTTTACTATTTTTATTGGAAGGTACCAAAGAGAGTGGAAAGTTGGTATCAGAAGGAGTGGGCCGATATCATTCATCTTCTAAATTGATCTAAGTTTGGAACAAATATTACGATGTGCGAATTTTGAATGAAATCGATTACTCTCGTCGAGAGTTATCGTGCGGACCAGCATGCCAAGCAAATAAACATTTGTAAATCGACTTCAAATTGTTTGAAACGAAGTTGATCCCAAGAAATATGGAGTCTATCAAAGTGTGTTGCCCTCAATAGGCATAAAAATGAGGGTATTAAAACATGGAGTCTAAAACCAGTTTTTAACATTAGCCATAATGCCGAGAACATAATTAGAAATATACATCGATTCGGGTATACATAAAGTTTTGATTTCGAGATATTTAAAAATATGGAATATTTGCTTCAACACTTCTATTGATTAATGGTAATATTGTGGTTTAGGTTTTTACTCCCCTAAGAAGAAGATAAACCTGGGGGGTTACTCTGTATTGCGATGCGTAAGAAAAATTGTATCGCATCGCGTAATTGGTACTCTCTAATTCGTTTTCGTATCTCCTTTCGCATGTACTTTACGCAAATGTGGCATCACCGCAATCTGTAATACGAAAACGCATGTCAAACTCGTTCGTTAAACGCAAATATCTTGCGTTAACAAAATAGCAAACGCAAATGAAGCGAAACATGTAAATAAGCACTATTAAAGTTTTTATTTACATCTAAATTGATAATTATTTTGGGTGAAAGCCAAAAAAAGTTACAGTTGACGACTCAGCACCGTCAAAAATTGTAGAGAAAACTGGATGATGACCTTAATTCAGATGGACCTCCTGTAAGAGATGTCGCTGGTTGGAAAAAAGTAATGTTTTATATTTTATATATAAAATGTGAAACTATGTGTGCATATTTACAGGTTGGTGTTGATAACCACCTTGTCCAAGCAATTTCAAAGCAGCGTCCACTTTTATTGGATTTGGAATTGCTGTGGATCTATTTGGAACGACGAGGTCATTTTTAATAGCGTTTATTAAAAACATAAACGCATCTTTATTGAGACGAACATTTTGTACAAATTTATAAAAATTAAATATTTGAAAACGTTTGTCACATTATTCGTACTTCTATTTTCATACCCGTGTTCACTTAGGTAGAGTATATTTGATCGATCTCTTAAAATTCTTTTTTTTAGTTGGTTCATCATTTTTGTTTAAAAAAAAACACTGGTACCACATAAACATATGTTTTAAATGTTTAATGTTAAAAAAAAAACACTCGTACCACATAAAAATATGTTTTTATTTACAATTTTTTGACGTTTCCTTTTGTCATTTTTCGTTATTGTTTACTTTGTGGTGCCAGTGTTGCCCTATTTTCGATTTATTTTGCGAATGCGTTTGCGTGAGCGATACAGAGTACCAAATTGCACTCTTAACGCATTTAGCTTTCGCATCGCACTTGCTTTCGCAACGCAATACAGAGTAACCCCCCTGGTGATAGGATTCGGGTTAGTAAACAAGGACACAAATTTGCATTTCCGGAAAACTTTTCTCTAGGCTTCCATTTTGCATAGATAGACGGTTACTATAGAGGACTAGGGCTGTGGGTATTTTGTTTGTCTAGAATTTAATTCAACTTTCCTTTACCACGAACTTGGAATTAATACTGCAAGTTTCAAATTTCAATTGAAGAATCAGTCGGATCCCCTGACTGCTCAATTTTCTTCTTTTAACCCCATTATTGTCCTTGAATGCAGGGTTGACTTCAATAACATTATTTTCCCCCTAAAAAAACAAATTTTTTAATAAAAAAAATATACATTTTTATATTCAATTCGAAAACTTAAAACAATTTATAAAAACATTAATTTTTTAATAGTTTCTTTTACAAAATTTTGTAAGAAAAAACACCAAATCTTAAATTACAAATCTTGTTACAGTGTGTCTTAAAGACGACATAAAGTCAAAAAAGTTATAAAAAAAATACTCAACGAATACACATAGGATAGTGTAAACGATCGGTAAATAAAAATACTTTAAAATAATACAATAAATATGTAGATATAGAAAAAATCGAATAAATACGTTTTTTAAATAATACTTGTGTCGAGCATATTCTCCGCCGAATGACTTCTAAAATCATTTAGATCATCGAGAATTTCTAGAAAAAGAAATAATAAATAAAAATTAATATTTGCAGTAATTGTAAATTAAAATAAATATTTTATATTTTTTACCACTTATTTGTAGACTTCCAGAGTTATTTTTATTATAGATTCCATATATTTCATCATTATCACATGTTGTTGTTGTATGTTTCTTAAACATGGCCTTACGCAGACTTTCCTCTAAAAATAAATGTAACGAAATTAAATACTATAAATTATAAAAAATATTAGAAAAATAAATAACACAAAACTGAATCAAAAATACTCACTCCTTCGTACATTAAAACGATTTACTTGAGCTGTTGCTACTGCCGCATTGGGTGGATATTTTATGGATGGTTTTGGGGACGAATTATTTAAAACGGCTTTTTCCTTTAAAGGTGTCACTGGTATTTTCGAATAATTACCTTTCATGGAATCACTGGCCAATTTCTGTGCCCGTTTCTTTTCCACGGGAGTATTACTATACAATATACTACATATACTGGGTGATATACCAATCGATGCAAACATTTGCTGGGATTCACTTAACTCATCGGACATTAGAAATACTTGCGATTTGGTGGCACTCAATGGATTACCACCATCCAAGGATGATTTGCCACCAAGTTCATCCATAAATTTACGTAAAATTGAACGTAATATTTTAAAACGTTTTAATATACGCTGCACATCAATCTGCTCCCTATCGGAATATTTCAATATGGCCTGACACTCGTGCAGCATTACAGTGAATTTCTTATACAATTCCAAACGATCACCATATTTTTGTAATTCCTTTTGATTGACAATTATTTGAAAATGTTCATATAGGAATTTTCCCATTTGCGCAATGTCCTCAAGTGCTTGTTTGCTATATTGTTTATCGCACGACTTTATAGCTTGATTAAGCAGATCATAATAGCAGGAGGTGAATGCATAGCTATCGATAATTTCCTGTATAGCTTGTTTGAAATTTCTGACTTCATCATTGAAATGTTGTTCCAAGATATGGGCATACATATTGGAATTGACTTTACTCTGGAGCGAAGGTATAATGCAAGAGTCCAAGGATTCAAATGAGGCCAAACAGCTGCGTACCACCGTTTTGACTGGAAAAGAAAAAATCATTAAAATTACAAATTCTATAAAAATTAATCGACATTTTTTACTCTTTGAATTCGCCGCAAAGGCAATAGCAAACATGCCAATCTGTGTGGTGCGATCTATGTTGACATCAAAATCAGCAATTAATTCATCCAATTGTGTATCATCAATACGCTTTTCTTTGATTTCCTTTCTCAACCGCTCCACCGACAGTTTGTCATAATCCAAAAAGCATGTAAACACCAAACGCAACAGCGCCTCATTTATGTAATCCTCCAGCTGATAGAGAGCATTTTCCAATGATATACCTTTGATTTTACGATTACTATCATTCACCGGCGTAGCCATTGTACATTCCTCTTGAAATGCCATACATTCCCGTATAACCTTCTGACACAAGGCACTCAAAGCCTTTTTATCCTGTTTCAGGGCAACATTAGCAAATGCCAAAGTATGACTTAAAATCATATCAATATTGGAACGGATTTGTTGGCTAGCAATTTTTGCTTGATTTTGATTTTCTTCATCCACCATCAAATTTTTCTCACTTCCCGAGGCATTTTCATCTTTATAACTTGTATAGGGAGCCAATTGATCCAATACCATATCCATGAGATCTACAAAAGTGTTTTCTTCATGGACCCCAGATTCATCTGCCTCACTAGCAGATTTCAATATTGCAATACAGGAACGTAAACGATCCAAACACCAATGTATGCGATCTATAAAATGTTCCTTTCCAGCCTACGAAAAGAAAATGACTCCACAATAATACTTTGATATCTTTGATCTTCCCAAACTTACCTGTATTGGAATTCCATGACTGGCTTCTGTTTTAATTGCACGTTCCATATTCCTTATGCAGGTTACAATTTGGGTCAAACACAGATATATGATGTCGATTTGATCATAACGTTGCCCATTATTATTTTTCAATAGGAATCTCTGTAGACCCTCTGAAAGTCTCAAAAACTCGAGGCAAAATTCCTTTAAAAAAATAAATTTTTATATGTAAAGGAAATAGTGGTGATCCGTACTTACATTCAATTGCTGAAGATTATGTGGCGTTCTGTTCATTAAATGTTTACATTTCGATAAATGTGTGAAAAGTTCCTGGGTCTCTGATGCTTCCATTTTTTTAGTATTTATTTTATATAAATACGCTGGCTTTTTAAATCTATTGTATGATTTGCATAGTCATTTTTGTTCGATATACGCGAGAAAGGGCAGAAATAATAAAAAAAAATTATTTCGCAATTTTCCCGAGAAACAACACACTACAACACCATACTCATTTGGAATATCTTCTATATTTTATATATTTTCAAGTTGAAGTAGTTGTATAAATATCATTAGTTGTATTATTTCTATTAACTCTTATATTATTTCCATTTATTTAATTAAAATATTAATAAAACATAAAAAACAATTCTAAATGCACGCATCGACACGATTATGAAGCTGACCGTTTGAATTTAATATTACAAAGCCGCCAATTCGAAATTGCCGCCATTACGCACAGGTGCAAGGTAGATATACAATGTAGCCGCATCGGCGAATTTCTACAACAAACATCGGTTGTTGTATTTTGATATGTCAAAAATATTTTGCCAAAACAAACAGATTGACAAGATTTTTTTACATAAATTCTTGTAGAAAATGTTAATAAAAGTATTCCCAAAAAAGCTATTATAAAATTCGGAGATTTTCATTTATAATTTTGTTTTTTAATTTTTTGGTTCAACATTACAACATTTTTGACATTTATTTGTCCAACAGCTGGCCCGATGCGGCTACCTTATTAAATATACCTTGCACAGGTGTAAACAAATTGATAACATATGGCTTGCAGCTATACACTGTAAAGTGATGACATGAATAAAATTCAACTGCATGAAAGAAATTGAAAATGTCGCAATTTTTGCCTAACAAAATTTGAAATGTAGTACAAGTTTTATGTAAGAAAACATAGAAATCACTTATCTACACATACAACACAACAAAATTATGGTCATATAAAAATTTATACATCAAAGTGTAAACATATGGCTTGTAGTCATGCACACTGAAGTAATAGCATCTTTGTAATAAATTAAAGGTTTTTAAAATAGAAAAAAGTAATTTATATTACATCTTTTTCTGTCTTAATCTCCTCTATGAGGATTTTTGACATAAATTTAATCATAGTAAATTAACTTTTTTTCTAAAATTTAAAAAAAATATTTTATTTTTTTAAGTGTTTCCTTTATGTGAGCCGTCCAAAGACTGATGTACCATACTTAAATGCCAAACCACGAATTGGACCTAACATTTGATAACATCTACAAATCAAATTTTCTACAAAAGATTTGCATTTCATTAGTACATAGATTTTGATCATGATATAAAAAAATTCGAATTCTGAGATGATTTATTTCTGCAGGGTAAATTCTGATAACTATAATACGATTAAGACAAATATATGTAAAATAAATTACATAATTTAAGTAAAATTCGTTCAGTGCAAATGAGACTTATGTACACAAAGGAAAATACAATATAAATTATGAACACATGAGATTTATAATAAAACATGACGCATGTACATGTAGTATAATTTATTAGATATTTATCTAAAGTGCAGTTTTTCATTAGATATAATTCTAATTTGAAACTTTTAATTCAATACCCTTATCTTGTCAATCTGATGTGTAACCCGGCCAACTTTATTTTCACACAAGCAGTACACAACTAGTGGCAACGTAAAGAGCAAGCGTCAAATGTTAACCTATGTGACGGCGGCACATATCTATATTTATGGCTCAGCTATCTGGTTATGGTTTTGAATAGGGATACGTTGTCGAGAGTAAACGTCGAGTTGACTAGGGATAGACTAATGCAAAATCTACTAAAAAATTAATTTTTCACATTAATTGTTGTCAATAAATGAAATAAAGTTCTAGAATGTGAAATTTTTAAAACATTTTGGCTTTTTTAAAGAAAATCGAAATACGACTTTGCGATTTTCTCAATGATTAAAAATCGACTTCGATTTTTTGACTTTTCAATAAAAAAGAAGTTTAATCGATTAGTCAAAAGTCGATTTACTTATCCCTAGTTTTGGAGGATAGGATTTTAGCAGCTTAAAAATTATTTTTTTTTTCGTGGAACAAAAATTGGTGGAAATAAAAATCATTTCTGTAGAAATTAGCATTATTCATTTTGACCTATGAGAAAAGCGACCTGTAATGAAACCTCAGTAGTGTGTATTTTCAATGTGGGCGAAGTAACAATTCAATCCATACGTAAACAGAAAAAGACGAGTTAAAACTACCCAACACAAACACACACATCTACGGACGACACTGCTGTGCTGTTCTAAACCCCCCTACAACAGAAGAAGAACTTTGTCGGAGATGAGTTCGTCCACATCGAGTCGCAAGGACCAGGAAAGGACCAAATTGATACAGGAAAAATGTCAGACATTACTAACGCAAATGTTGCGAGATGAGGACAACAAATACTGTGTGGACTGTGATGCAAAGGGTAAGAGGCCAGTGAAAAAAATCTCATACTATATTTTCTTAACGTAGTTGTTGTGAGGGGTGGAGATTTTGCTAGTGCTGACTAGCTATAAGCCGGACGTACTATATATTTTCTTTTTTTGTGTGATAGTTGAAAGATAACAAAAGATGGTGGGGTGGCAGTGGAAAGAGCAACAACATTTGTTCAGAAGTTTTATCAATTGTATTTTTATAAAAAAAAGAATACTTGTCGGTCGATCTGTTCGTCTGCCTGTCTGTGGTGATGATGACGTTTAGGCCAATTTTATAATCACAACAACAGTAGAGATGCGTCATAACTGAAATGGATTGGCAAATAGAAACAACACAAGCATTTCTGTTGTTGTTGCTATTTGTAAAGCAATTCGCATTTAATTTGGAGCTAATGCTGTTGCCGCTAATGTTGTGATTGTTGTTGTAGTTATTGGCCAAAATTTTTGGGGCTTCAGGCCGTATTTTAGTTCATACTTTTTGGGGTTTGTTATTTTGTTTTCGTCGCTTTTGTATTGTTCGCATTGCAATTAAGCGGCATTGAGCAGTTATTGGTATGCATTGTCAGTGTTTATATATTGGCGTTTTTATATTTTTTCTGTCGACATTTCCCTTCTGTCGATTCGACAGTGATAAACAAAACAGCAAACATCATTGACGTGTGTTAAAACAAAAAAAATAAAATACTGCATTGCAATGGTTGGCGGCTGGTTGCTATCTGCCGCCAGTCAAGTAAATGTTGATTTCTTTTAATATTTTTATCCACGCCTTTTGCAATGAAAATTCCAGAAAAAATATTTTTATATTTATTGAAAGGAAATCGTGCCATTTTAAAATAGCAATCCCTCCTAGCTACCATCCCTACCACAATTACCTTTGCACCCAATATATCGTGCCTCTGTGTAATTAAGTTATAGTTTCGAAAAATAAATACCAAAAGCGAAAGTAAAAGTCCATGACAATTTTTATTTACTTACATGCCACACACACACATGCACACATTCTTACATTTATTCCGTACATTTAACACTTCTTCTTTTAGGTCCACGATGGGCTTCTTGGAACTTGGGCGTATTTCTTTGTATACGCTGTGCCGGCATTCATCGCAATCTTGGCGTTCACATATCACGAGTGAAATCTGTCAATTTAGACACATGGACACCCGAGCAGGTTATATCACTACAGCAAATGGGCAATTCTCGGGCTCGTGCCGTCTACGAAGCCCAGCTGCCTGACGGTTTCCGCCGTCCCCAGACTGATACTGCACTGGAATCCTTCATACGTGCCAAATATGAGCATAAAAAGTACTTGGCCCGTGAATGGGTGCCACCATCACCGCCAAAGGTTGACTGGGCCAAGGAAATTGACGAGGAATTGGAAAGGCAGAAGCGTAAAAAGAAGGCGGCCCAAGCCAACACCTCGCTGGGCATAGGTGTTTTAAGTGGCGGTGGTGGCTCGAGCACGTCCTCCAGCGACAAGAAATCCACCTCATCAATGGCAAAATCATCACCCATACCAGCACCCCTACCCAAACCAAAACCCGGACAGAGCGGTAGCAGTCCCAAGGTACAACGTATCTCCACCAGTTCAACAGGCGCAGAAAACAATCAAAACAACGACTTGTTAGGTTTAGCTTCACCCACAAAACCGGTGCAAAATTCGTTGACGGGCCAAACGTCAGGATCCTCGAACATAAATGACTTGCAAAACGATACATTCAGCTGTTTCTTAAGTGCTACGCCCGCCACAAACGATCTAGCGCATCAGCAGCAGCAATCCAATAATACAAATTCCTCCCAGAACTCACTGGCCAAGGAGGAGGAAGACTTTTTCAATCAAGGTTCCCTAAACAGTACTGGCGATAAAGACAAATCAGGCAAATTGACCAAGGACAGCATACTGGCTCTGTACGGCCAGGCGCCTCCCAATCCCACGCCAGCCATGAACTTCTTACAACAACAGCAGCAGCAACAACAACAATTAACCAATCAGGCATCGATGTTTGGCGCTGCTGCTGGCGGATTTACTGGCATGGCACCAGGTGGTTTCATGGGTGCTGGTGGCCCAGCTGCTGCTCAGCAGCATCAATTCATGACTCCACCCAACTCGGCCAGCATGTACAATGCTCCGGTTATGACAGCGCCTGCCGCCTTTACTGCACCCGGTATGACCGGTGGTTTTGCACAATTTCCCATGCAAACAGGTTTCCCACAAACTCAGAATATAGGCGGCGGTATCATGGCTACTGGTCAGCCGGGAAATCTTATGCATGCAAATCAAAGTCTTATGACTAATTTGGCCGGTGCCAATGGAGCAATGATGTTTGGCATGCAGCCCACGGCTGCTATGTCGGCGCAACCCGCCTTCAATCAGGGTCTAATGGGAGGTTTTCCAACCGCCAATATGGCTGGGCAAGCGGCTGTTGCTCCAGCTGCACCGGCTGCCGCCAGCTTGCAGCAGCAATTTGGTAACCTTAATATTGGCAATGTGTGGCAATAAACTTTTGCACGGCTTGGCGTCTTACAAAACAACAAAATTAACTTGCCGTGACATTTAAATTAAAAGAAAAAACCGAAATTCCCAATTTCCCCCACCCTGAATATTAAATATACCCCTCCCATAAAGTATTCGACTTGAGAGTTTGCTGAATTGTATGTGGTCTCGACGACGTTTTTTTCCTGATTGTGAATATTATCAGGTCAGGGTTCTGTATAATGTAGAAGTATTTGTTTATTAATGTAATAATTATTATTTTTTGATGATGATCGTAACATATACAAACAAACCAACCAACACACACATACTACTATATATATTTAGATATGCTAACAAAAAAGAAAATTTCCTTGTTCTCCACAACTTTTCTGAACAACAACAAAAAAGTAAATCTTGTAAAGGTTTGAAATCACTTAATAAAATTTAAGTATATTTTTAGCTTATTTACGAGTGAGTTTCAATTGAAATGAAAGAGATTTTTTGGATTTCCAAACAAACAAAAAAAAAAAAAAGAAAAACAGCAATCAACACCAACAAAACTTAAAAAAATACTTCAATAATGATGATAAAGAAACAAACATAAATATGATATATTCCTCTTTAATTTTTATTGTGAAATAATTCTTAATAACTTTAAAAATGAAATAGATATAAATTTAATTATACCATATATAAATAATATATACAACTGATGATGAATAGAATCAAGTTTTATTGCAAACTATTACGTTCCAATTTCTTCTATTTAATTTAGTCCTATTTTTCCCCCACACTAATTACAAATATATTTGCATTTAGAAATACTTTTCCCACTTAATTTTTACAAATAAACAAATACGTTAACAACAATTAAAAATAAAATCGCCGTTAATTGATTTATTGGCTGCAGGCAGCGGATACGCGCGTATTTAGTGTAAACAGATGATGCCAGTTGGTAATCGATTACTTAATCAACGATTGCAACATAACTAATTGATTTGTTTTGTTTAGATTGTCGTGTCCTAAATAGAGTTGAATAATGTAGTTCACAAAATGAATCGAAATGAACTAGTCTCTTAATGCTGATGCATATTTAAATTCTTTTGAATTTTCTTTAAATTAGTAATTGAAAATAAAAAATATGTATTTGGATTAAAACTGTGTCGTTCTGTAACGAAGTAATGTATAGAAAAATTTCCGAGAAAGGAAAACAAGTCGAAATAAAAAAAACCATATAAAGAGGTGGGTCTAGTTCCGATCGTTCTTTTCTCAAAATAGTTGTTATTGAACATATTCGTTACGAAGAGACACAGCTTTAGCCCAAATACACACTTTTTTATTTTTAATTAAAATATTAAGCGAAATTGAAAACCAGTAACGTGTACACCCCTTTTGGGTATTTACAAAAAGGCCAAAATTAAACAAATATTCTGCAGGAAAAAATGAGTGATAAAGAAGAGATAAAGACGACTGATAACAAACCGATAGCAGCAAAAAGCGACGAAAAAGATGCAACCAAGGAAAATGCCCGTGAGATTACCACCAAGGAGGCGTATTTTGCCAGCCTGAACGAGTGGGTTAAACGGGCCAACATCTCACAAAATGCCATGGCCATGTTTCCCATGTATTTGATGTCCTGCTATCCCCAGCTGTTTTCCCCACAACCTGCTACTGTTCAGCAACAGGGTAGTAGCTTCATACCCGGTCTACAAGTGCCAACAAATAGCCAAACGGGTAGTGGCGCAGCAGCCCAACCCCTGTTGGTCAATCCAAATGTAAATGCTGCCGCAGCCATGGCTGGTTTCAATGGATTCCGCATCATGAACGAACAAAGTCAGGCGGATTTAATTAATCAAACTGGTGGATATGAATATGTGGTTGCTAGTCTCTGGAAACGGGCCATAGCTGAGCTCATTGATATGGTTATTATGCTATTTTTGAAAATCGTCACCATTTTCGTGGTGACCAATGTCTTTGGCTACAACATTATGCTGGACATGGATAAGGAGGTACTTAACAAGGCAATGGAAAATGAAGATTTTGGCACCGCTCTCATATATTCCCTAGATTTCTTGGCCTTCTCTTCCGACCTATTGGCTTTCGAGATTGCCACCAAACTGTTTGTGTGTCTTTACGAAGCCGTCCTGACCACATATTTCGACGGTGCCTCTTTGGGCAAACATGTCATGGGCTTGAGTGTGAAATATTGCGAAGCAATGGTCCTATTGCCACCCAATGTACCACCAGCACCTTTGGGGCCTCAAATGCAATTAGTCTTCCAAACTCCTCGGGTACAAATTCGTGCATTGTTGTATCCAGCCGAAACGCCTAAATTCAAGCGTGCATTTATGCGGGCCGTAGCCAAAAACTTAATTCTAAGCCTGCTATTCCCCATGTTTTTCCTAATGGCTTTCTTTAAGAATAATCGCACAGCCTACGATGTAATGACCAAGACCATTGTGGTGGAATCGAGCAGACAAACCCCTGTACTAAGGAGACCTCAGCAACAACAACAGCAGTAGTGATTAAAAGGAGGCACCACATCAGCGGTGATGGTTTTTTAAGTCGTGTATAATTTGTTGTGTATATTTTTTATTGGTTTGTTTCGTTTTAATTGCAACTTGCCATAAAGAGGTTTTTCCAAATATTCGTTTTTTTTTCAATAAAATTAGATTTTTGTTTATTTTTTTGTAATCTTGTAGGCACTGAGAAATAAAAATATAATTTATATATTTATGTGCTCATTCTTTTATTTCACTTGTACGTTTTTCAAAGTTTGGGCAACAACATTACCTTTACCAGGAACATGTAAGGCGGCACCCTTATAGCAAGCCACAAGCTGATCATTTGTCTTAAGATCGGGAGCACATGTTTCGAATATTTTCTTTTTGGGATTCATTTGGGCATCGGGTTGACGTTGGTAGCCTTCACAGTGGACCAAGTCCCCGGGAACAGCTCCGGCCGGGGGACTTAATACCTCAACCTTTTCGGGTGTGGAGGCACACATGACCATGGCCTCAGAGGTGACACCACGCATTTTGGCCGGCTTAAGGTTACAGAGAACAACAACCATACGATTTTGCATTTCCTCCAAGGGAACGTATTTGACGAGGCCCGACACCACCGTGCGTGGTTGGGCTTCTCCACAGTCGATTTTTTCCAAATACAAACTATCTGCATCGGGGTGACGAGATACCTCTACAATTTTACCTACACGCATATCTAAACGTCCCACATCAATGGGAAGTTCGGGGGCAGCATCCTTTTTGTTATTTTCGGAAGCTGCAGGTTTTTCTTTTTTGGGTTTCTTTTCTTTGGCCGGTGCTTTGGCGGTGGCGGGAGTTTCTTCTGCCTTTGCGGCCTGTGGTTTGTCAGTTGAAACTTCACTGCACTGGGCAACCGATGCACCTGGCACCGGAATTTGTTTCTTTCCATTCTTAATCTCCAAGGCCACCAATTGTGATCGGGCAATTTCTACTTGTTTTTGTAGCGCTGCATTTTCGGCAATCAGTTCTTTTTTCTTTCTGGCAATAAGTTCATGGCGAATGGCCGAAAGCTGGAAGAGTGGAAAAGTGAGTTGTATTAGCATAACCAAACTTTTTTTTCCATTTCATTATTTGGTCATTAAATTACCTCATTCTTAAGGGACTGAATAATGTCCAAGCTACGCTTGTTGTTTTCAACAACTTGTTCAATGGTCACCATGTTGCGGGATATTGTTTTCGAGGAGATTTGGCTAAAATTGGAACGTAGCAGAACCGATCCAAGTGGAAAAAGTCTTGAGAACATTGCCATAGCCAATGATGCCACCTTTTGTAAATTTTATGTCATCAATCATGTTACATTTAGGTGGTAGATGGTGGTTTGACGTAAAATAAAATTGTACTTCAATTCAAAATGTGCCTTTGGCAACCAAAAAACCCAAAATTATGGTATGATTTTATATGCGATCAAGTTCCATAAAACAGGTCGTGTAAAAAGCAATCGTTTTTGGCAATTTTTGATCAAAATCCCCGATATTGCCAATTTTTTTCACATTTTTATTCAATTATTTAAAAATAGAAAGCATTTTGACAGCTAGGGAGAAATCATCTGTCCTTATCGTGTATATAGTCATGTCAAAAAATTGGCCTGTATTAAAAATGTCCTTCAAATCTATTTTCATAAACCTAACCCATTCAAAATACTGAAAATGAGGGCGTGACCTTTAAATGGTATAGACTTATAATCAAAATCGACGTTTTTATGGTGATTTTGAGACAACATATAATCTTACACGGCAGGAATTTGGCAGACTAAATACAATTTAGAACTATCAAACAAAAATCGGTAATACCATAAACCATAATTTTTGCGTCAGTGAGTAAGATGCCATAGTTTACACTTTGTCATAACATTCTCATTGTATTAATAACCCCATGAAAAGGTAATTGGTATTGTTATCACTTCTATGTGAATAGTGTCTACCAACTGCAGCCAACTTCACACCGCATATCAATCATCATAGCGCTTATAGAGCGGTAGCAGAATTTTTTTGGGTGTGTATTTATTTTTTCTGGAATAAAAAAAGTGTTTCTAAACAAAATTACTAACAAAATTAATTTGTGTAAAATATTAAATCTTTTTAACAGTTTTTTCATCCTTCATCTAGAGTCGTAAGGTAAATCTACTAACGTACTAATATTTAACATATACAAATCAAAAGTGTTGTGAAATTTTGTGCATCAGAAGAATGAATTACAACCCTTAAGAAAAAAAACCAAACGAAATTGAAAACTAAAACCCCAACATACATATACACAAAGAAGAAGAACAAAAAAAAGACAATGAAGAAAAAAATGGATGCAAAGAGGTTCCATTCAAAAAATGTAAATTAATCTACGTCTATGGACCATATTGTGAACTTGGAATGTAGAATTTTTGGAGGAATTTCTTGGAAATAATGTGGAATACATATTGCGTCTGTTTTCCGATGATCTTTTTTGTATTTGGTATTCTCTATCAACCAAAAGACCTTGCTCCAGTCAGGGATTTCCTTCTTTTGTTGTTGTAATTTTCATATCATAACATGATGGTTAGAGTGGTGCTGCTCGCCTGCCTGCCACTCCCTTTAATCTAGTGACACTGACCGTCTCCCTTATACCCATCGTCTACTATATTAAGTTTTAGACAAATCCCATTGTCGGGGGTGGGTGCTGATGTGCTCCTCTACAATTGAGGGGGAGACAGACGTTTGTCGTATAGTATAGGTAGGGGTTGTTGCATGTCTTGTGCTTTAATCGATTGTTTAATGATGGCATGATAATGTAAACAAATAGAAAGAGACTAGAATACAATTTGTTTGTAGCTAGGGATTTTACTCCACCAGTAGTACATGGTATACCACGTACCACCACCTATATTTAATGAATTTAGCAATGATGGCGGCGACGACGGCTTTGCCTTTTCAACTCTCAGCTGTCCGTCTGTCTGCTGGCAAGAATTAATTGTTGCTATTTTACCCTTAAGGGTCTTTGCCTTTTGGTGAGTGCGCGATATATCGTATGTCGTCGTTGTTGTTGGTGTAATGTATCATCACTTGATTTAGTATTTTTTTTCTATTTTATAGTATATTTTTGTAGAATGGAAATACTGTATACATATGTATGTATGTGTGTGTATATATACCTAACAAATTATTGGTCATGGTTAATGCTGATGATGAATGTCTGTCTGTATGTATGTGCGTGGCGTACTTTTTAATATTAAAAATAGAACAGATGAATTGCTAGGTGGTCCTCTCATATGCCTTAATAATTTCTGAATCTAGGAAATTCATAAATTTTTAAATGCACCAAACAAGAACAATGACCTTTTTTATATTAAAAAGTGGAAATAGAAAAAAATGAAAACAAAAATTAAGCTGAGCCACTACGTTCCCAGAGCATCTTAAATGATATTAGACCACTGAGTGTCGGGAACCAATAACACCATAACTTCCTGAAGCTTGTACATGACTAGTATTTGTAGGTGTGTGTGAACAATATCCACTGTTACAACAAAAATCTGCTTTGAAAAGTCAGCTTCTGAGTTGATGACAAATATCCAACCCTTGATAGGTTTGGATTCTGAACGGACTAGGTATGACATTTGACTAATGGGTAAAACTAAGCGACTATATGTCTCCAGTCCTGAGATTTGACGGTATAGATGTTGTTATCCCTAGTAGAGACGACTGGAACCGTGGCAAACCTCCTCTGGACGGTCTGGTTTTTTATACAGACGTGTGACATCATGGGTAATGAAAATGGGACCATGATGTTACTGACTACTGCAGACTTTGTGTCGTCGCTGTTCAGTTCTGGTCTACAGACCAATTTCTTTAGCCATCGAAACTTCTCCCACCTTCCTCCTAATAATTATAGCCTCCTTGGGCAAACATGTCATGGGTTTGAGTGTGAAATATTGGACCTATTGCAACCTAATGTATAACCAGCACATGTGGGGCCTCAAATGCAATTAGTCTTTCAAACTTCTCGGGTACAAATTCGTGCATTGCTGTATCCAGCCGAAAAGCCGAAATTCAAGCGTGCATTTATACGGGCCAAGTTTTTTTTGCTATTTCAAATGCCTTCGAGGCATCTGCACACAGAATTGGGCATATCGAATTCTCAGAGTATAAAATATCTTTCTATGCTATAATTTAGTTGGGTCCTTCGCCGAATTTAAGGCCTTTTTATACCCACCCTTCACCACACTGTGGTACAGGGTATTATGTCTTTGTGCATATGTTTGTAACAGGCAAAAGGAAACGGAATAGACCCATGGTTCCTTTTGAGAATATGCATAGAATCACTTTCTAAGTCGATTTATGCATGTCCGTCCGTACGTCTGTCTGTCCATGTTAAATTGTAAACAATGTCGCATTTATGATCCGAATTGGATGAAATTTGGCATAGGTCACTTATTTGGCTCAAGGACGAAGTCTATTGAAATCGGTTCAGATTTAGATATAGCTCCCATATAAATTTTCGTTCGATTTAAGGTAAATGGTGTACCAAAGTCCCTGTATATATGTATTTCGATTTGCACGAAATTTGGCACAGCGTTATGAATTAGGTCTAGAATGATGTGTGTTAAGTTCCGTCAAAATCGGTTCAGATTTAGATATAGCTCCCATATATATTTTCGTCCGAATTGTACACAAAAACCACAAAATATGTCGGATTGGGATGACATTTTGAATAGCGTGTTAAATTGTATCCAGAATGAAGTGTGTTAAGTTTCGTTGAAATCGGTTCAGATTTAGATATAGCTCTCATATATATTTTCTTCCGATTTAAGGTAAATGGTTTTTCGATTTGCGCAAAATTGGGCATGGCGTACTGAATTAAGTCTAGAATGATGTCTGTTAAATTTCCTGAATATCGGTTCAGATCTTTACTGGTTAAATTGTTAAATTTTAAAAAATTTAATGTTCAGTATTCACAGTAAATTTTGTAAATGACAGAAACTGACTTCCAATCACAAAATTTCACAGCACAAATATTATTTTTTATTTTTTTTAACTATAAATTTTATACTAGATTTATTGTATATACCTTACTAACCCCTCACCCTCAAACATTGTCCTCCCCCCTCATTACATTTATACTCACTTTTTTTGTTTTTCTCTATTCCCAATAATTGCAGCAGCATTGCTTAGAACCAAAACAAAATAATTCTTTGTTGTATGCACTTTGAGAAAAACAACCACCACCACCACCAAAAAACCACCCATTTTTACTAAAAAATCATCCCTCTTCCACAAAATCTCACAGTAGTTGCTTATTTTACATCCTAACCCACCCACCAACCAATCAAAGTCAAAACTCCCCCCAACTGATCTTTACTTTATTCTTACTCCAAACACACAAATCTCATCATAGGACTATCCGAGACAGCAGTTATGGACGTTATGTCTTCGTCACTGCAACAGCAACGTATTATTGTCGAACAATTGAGACGCGAAGCAGCCGTCGATCGTCAACCGGTATCGGAATCATGTGCTGCCATGATGCGTTACATATCGCAGCATGAACAGGAGGATTATTTATTGACCGGTTTCACCAGTCAAAAAGTCAATCCATTCCGTGAGAAGTCATCGTGCAGTGTTCTTTAAATGATGATAATTATTTAAGATGTAATGGATGGATGGATAGATGAATTGGATTGGATAATGGACGGAAGGGTGATGACGACTACGGCATTGATAAAGGCGGCTATGTGAGAAGGATGATCATGTGTGGAAATTGAAGTGTGGAAACAGAAATCAACGAAATAGTTAAGAAGTGGAAATTTTGGCAAAAACATCAACTAAATCAAGGATAGCCTAAAACCTATATCTCATAGGCATTTGAAGTAGAGTTCCCCCGGCTCACCTATATCAGCAATAAATAGTTTTAAAAATCTACAACAACCACAAAAATAAGGATGACATTTTTCAAGTACTCAACCACAATAACAATACAACATATTTAATGATGGGAATTATTCAAAACAAGAGCAGTATATATATGTATCCTCATATATATTAAAAATTCACATATATCAGAATTATATACACTTCTCTGTCTACTATATATATACTACTATACTATATTATATATTATTGATATTTATGATAAACAACAAACACAAAAGTAAACCAAAAAACATATTTAAAACTATTTATATTATCATTATTACCAACAACAACAAAAAATAATAATTACTTTATTATTATATATTCAGAGAGATATATACATAAATTTAATTGTATTGTATTATCCAAGAGAAAACGAACCTTTTCAAAATCAAGAACATAGCATCATGCCGCCGTTGTCATCATTTGAAAAAACAAAAAAAAAATGTCTCATTAAAAACGAAACAAAAAACCAAAAACAAAATAGAGATCTCTATTCATTTATTTTTTTTATTTTAGATCGATCACTCAGCTCATGACTTGTTTGCTTTTAAGTTTCAAAACACCTCAAAACAATAAAAAAAAAACGAAATACCACAAACAAAACTGTTAACAACACCCCAAAAGAAAAAAAATATAACGAAAAGTAGGTAAACCAAGTTAGACACACACACTCACAATAGGAACACAGCGAAAAACAACAAATTGACAAATGACAAAATTGCAACAACATTTTTGAATAAGAACGACAAATTAACAAAAAAAAGCTTCCACTTCCTTCCCAGAACCCCTACTCCTTTTACAAAAAATTGAATTTGAAAACAAATCAAACCAATTTTTTTAGGTTAGATTGATCTCATTACGTTCAGGGGGTTTTGTTGCCTGAAAATGAAAATCGAAAAAAGGTAAACGGGAAAAATCCTTAAATATATTTTTTTATTAACAGCAAAAAATATTTAATCACAACAAATTAACTAATTTGCCCCCCAAAAAATTTAAACGAACAAAATAACTTTATATAATTCCATATTAAATACCAAATAATATCCAACAAAAAAAAAAAAATAATGCTTTAATTAAAATAATACTAATACAGAACTACTTCAAAATATTTTTTCTTCGTTAAAAAAATAATAAATTTAAATTTTAATAATAATAATCATAATACAAACGTTAACATGTTATTAAATATTTACGAATATTAGCTTAGTAAACAACAACAGTTTATTGAATTTTTATCCTACCCCTCAGATATGGTATCCAGTGGTCTTGGCAACATATAACAAGAGCTCTGGGACCCAATTAACATATTTAAACAAACTCCAATTTAAACAAAAAAAAAAAAAAGAAATTATTAAAAAATAATGTTTTAGCGCGCGTTTAAAACCAATTATATATTTTGCTAGCTACATTAAGCTTTAATGATTATTAAACAAAACAAAAAACAACAACAATTACTCATATATCGTAGTTTAAAAAGTTTAAAAATCAACAACAACAACTTGTTAAGCAGAATCAACAAACAAAAAAATTTCTGGGGCACTTTGCCTTCCAAAGAAAAATTATAGTTTTAAATTATTCCAAAAAAAAGTATTTATTATATATATAGAACAAAAGCAATTATATTTTTAAAATAATGCAATTGAAAAAATGTTGAACACTCGCTCGACAAATTCGTTTACGCCTAACATCGAAGTTTTGAATAAGAGAATTATTTTTTTTTTCATTAGAAAAAGGATTCTAAAGAGAACAGAATTAGAAATTTTTGTTTTTCATTAGAAAAAGGATACTAAAGGAGGACAGTATTATAATTTTTGCTTAGAAGGAGTGTAAAGGAGGGCATGAAAATAATTTCGGTGAAAAGGACAGTATTATAATTTTTGCTTAGAAGGAGTGTAAAGGAGGGCATGAAAATGATTTCGGTGAAAGGAGGACAAAATTAGAATATTTTTTCATTACAAAAAGTATTCTATAGGAGGACAGAATTAGAATTTTTGCATAGAAGGAGTCTAAAGGAGGTCGTGAAAACGATTTCGATGAATAAGGCTTCTAAAGGAGGACATGACTAGTTTGTTTTTTAATTTTTGCTTAAATGAAGGAGGTCAGGAAAATGATTTCGATAAAAGGGGTTCTAACGGTGGACAGAATTTGATTTTTTATAGGGAGTCTAAAGCGATTTCGGTGTTATTTCTTCAATTATCCCATCTAAAATTTATTTTTTATTGTTAAAATTTGCTTCCATTGGCCAAAGAAAAAATATAGATGAAAAAAGTCTTCTTTATATTGAATTCATTGTGATAACAAAAAATATGGCTTCCATTTAATTACCAAAAAAAAAAAAAATATTTGACCCTTAAAAATATCTGGATTTGAAGGGATAACACAAAATTGGTTTTCTTTTTCTTAAAAAAAAGATTTGAAAATCTCAAAAAAATTACAAAAAAAATCGTTCGAGGTTTTGCCGTTGTGTACGAAAATCGTAGACAAAATAGCAAAATCTCTACAGAATTACCACATAACCTCACTAAACGGAACCGAATGATCTCAATATAAAATGTGTGTCACAAGAAAAAAAAATATACATTCCAACTAAGACAATTCCAACAAAAACTTAGACAAAATATCTTAGACAAAATAGATATCAAATCTTAGACAAAATAGTAAAATCTCTACACAATTACCACATAATCTCACTAAACGGAACCTAATGGACTCAGTATATAATGTGAAACAAGTAAAAAGATACATTTCAACTAAGAGCAACCCAAAATTTTTTGAAAAACAAAACTATTTTTAGTTTATATTTCGAGCACATTACGTTTGGGGTTTTGTTGTCGTGAGCAAACAACTAAGCCCTTAACGAAATACACTCAATTTAATAAAAAATTTAGTTTTGTTTTTTAATACATTTTTGAGGTTAGAATTGAAAACCCTAATTTTATTAAGAAATGGTTTTCAAACAAATTTATTTTTTAGGTTATATTTCGAGCACATTACGTTTGGGGTTTTGTTGTCGTGAGCAAACATCAAAATCCTCAACGAAATACCCTCAAATTAACTAAAAAAGTAGTTTTGTATTGAATGCCATTATTTTTTTGAGGTTAGAATTGAGCACACAAAAAAATGTGTGGACTTTGTAGAAAATGTTAAACAAACCCTAAAGAAATATCTAAACTAGTCTTCAAAATATTGCGGCATTAATTTAATTTTAAAAAAAATTAATATTCTGAAAAAAAAATAAAAAAAAGGATTTGAAAACAAAACTATTTTCTAGGTTATATTTCTTGAAAACATTACGTTTGGGGTTTTGTTGTCGTGAGCAAATAACAAAATCCTTCACGCAATATCCTCACGAACTAACCACTAAATAGATCTGTATTGAAATCCTTTAAATTTAAAAATTTTAATCAAATTTTTAGGTTAGAGATGAACAAGAAAAAAATCTGGAACTCTTTGTATTTTTTTAAAAGTTTTGAATACCAAACTATTTTTTTAGGTTAGATTTCGATTTTGTTGTCGTGAGCAAACAACAAAATCTTTAACGAAATACCTTCGAATTGATTGAAAAAGTAGTTTTGTATTGAATTCCGTCATTTTTTTTTTGAGGTCAGACTTGAAAATAAAAAAAAAAAAAATGTGGACTTAGTTTGTGAAAAAAACTTAGAAAATCCTGATAGAAATGTCTATAATATATAATTGAATGTAATATTTTGAAATCTAGTATCCAAAAGAGTATTTGAAAACAACGATTTTTTAGGTTATAATTTGAGTACATTACGTTTGGGGTTTTGTTGTCGTGAGCAAACAACAAAATCCTTAACGAAATACCATCAATAAAATTACCATGTTTAGTTTTTTTATTTTAAAATAATATATATTTTTTAATATTTTTACTATATTACGAAATTGAAAAAAAAAAAATTGGAGGTTAGAAATGAACACATTACGTTGGGGGTTTTGTTGTCGTGAGCAAACAACAAAATCCTTAACGAAATACGCGCATTCGACTTCCAAGTACCATTTTAAATAAAAAAAATAATCAAAATTTACAACAACAGAAATCGAAAATTAAAAAATAACATTTTGAGGTTCTGAACGAAAAAAAAATTAAAGTTAAAATAAAAATTAAAAAGAACAAAGGAAATAAAGTTAATAAAATTAATTTTATTAATTTTTTTAACTATCTAAACTTTGGAATATATAAAAATATTTAAAAGAAAACGATCTCAAGAACTTTTATTTATTAAAACTGCAGTTAATAGATGAAAGTTCCTAATAATTAATTAAAATAATAATAAATACACAATTCCAAGTTTGGTCAAAATAACAAAAATAATAAAAATCAAGAAATCAATTGCGTTATTTTAAAAATCTTTTGCTTTAATTGTTAAACAAAAAATTAATTAAAAATTTAAATTAAATTAAAAAATAAATGTATACATATATATCACGTCCTTGCAAAATACTTAAAAAAATATATGTACACCGCTTAAGGTAAAAAGTTACTCATCTAAAAAAATAATATTCAATTAATTAAATAAATTATAATAGCTAATTAATATTATAGGTGAGAATTTGTCCCCTCTCTCGAAAAAAATACGCGTTAAACAGTTTTCAAATAAACAATATTTCTTCAAAGCAATATTTGATTTAATTGTACTTTAAATCAAATTTTTATTATTCTCAAAAGTTAAACGGAATACCAAAAAAAAAAAAATTAACCAAACCAAAACAAATTAATAAAAACATCAACAACACACTGTTACAAATTTATAATTATAATCGAAAAATATCAACAACTTTCTCAAGCTTCTTCGTCTTCTTCATTAATTCTTTAAAAAAAATCTTACAAAAAAATTAAAATTTTTTTTCAAAAACACACAATGTTGCAAAAATTTAAAGATTCTTAATCTTTGAAATTTTGCCCACACACAAACAAACAATATACGAAATACCCAAACAAAAAAATCGTTATATTTCCAAAATCAAATATTTATATACAACAAGATATATATAGTTACATTTGTTTATTATATATATATGATTTTTTGAAGATGCTTGTTGTCGTCGTGTCACACAACACATACTACTTACCCACAAATACCACATACCTTGAGGCATATTAGCATGCGGAGGATTGTCGTCGTGTGTACGGTACACGAAGTTGGGGTGACAGACACTTCCAGACATTATTATTATACAAAAAAATGAAATACACAACAAACAATAATAAACCAACAGAAACCACCAAAAGATATCACATCATAAATTCAAAACCAACCATAATGAAGCAATAAATCTATAAAAAAAAGTTCGTTTGCTTGGAGAGATTTCAATAAAAACTACAAAATTTAGATGTGTTAACTAGTGGGACACAGTAAAAAAAAAGAAAACAAAAAACCGTTTCCAATTGTGTTTTATTTCTAAACCAAAAATTAAATCACAACTCCATTCGCCCGCCCACCCATTTAAAAAATTACCTACCTATAAATTCTTGGTTGTTGCAGTTCGTCATTTTCAAACATTCAAACATTACAGTAGATTAGATTTTATTCAAATCATTTTCAAAAACACAAAAGCCATATAACCAGCATCCATCAATCCCTTCATGCCATTCATTACAAAAAAAAAATTATACAAAACATGTTCATTTTTGTTTTACTTTGTAAAAGTTTAATATTTTTTATTTGCAAGAAAATCATTGATTTTTCTTCCTTTTTTTGTTTTGGGATGAATAGTTTTTTGTTTGTTGTTAATTATGAATTTTTAGATAAAGCTTAAAAAATTAACGAGAAAGGATTCTAACAGAAAACGTAAGTTACAAACATGTTAATACATTACGTCGTGCGTGTGTGTGTTTGTGAGTACACAAAAAATTTAATGAAGGGATTAATAACGTCGTCGTTAAACGCCATTATACGATGATATAAAAAGAAATGATTTCTAAGAGAATAATGCATGACATCCTTATGTTTAACTTTCATCATCACTGCCGGCATTTTGACGTGGCTTGGGACCACCAGCCCTCTTGGCCATAATGATTTGATCAACTTTCAGGATAGTGGTGGCAGCACCAACGGCATATTTTAGGCCCCAGAATTTCGATTGGAAGAGATCGTAAATTTTGGTGGTGGTAACATCAACGGTCTCGGCCTTTTCAGCATCAATGTTGAAACCCACATTCGGACCCTTACCCTCGGCATGGGCCAAATACAATTGGTTCACCAATTCGGTGGCATTGACACCGGTATTTTCGGCCAAGGCTTTGGGGAATGCCTCCAAGGCGGCAGCAAAACGACGTACAGCATATTGTTCCAAACCGGGCAGGGTATCAGCATAGGCAGAGATTTGTGTGGCCAGCTCAATTTCAACAGCGCCAGCACCAGGAACATAACGGCCATCACGGGACAAGCACTTGAAATTGTTGACACCATCATCAATGGCTCTTTCAATGTCATCTAAGAAGTTGTCAGTGGCACCACGGATAACAATGGTGGCAATGCGGGAGTCCTTGCCTTCATTTCTGAAATCACAAACATCATCATTACGACAATTTTAAATATGAAATCTCTCCCTCTCCCTTACCTGAAAGCCACAACAGTGGTATCACCCAATTCCTCAATGCACACCTTGTCACAATAACCCAACTCCTCTTGGCTGGGGGTGGTAAGGCGTGGCAATACTGTGGCATTGACAGCACGTGCCAAACGTCTCAAATCGAATTTGGAGTTAAGACGCACAGCCATCATATTGTATTTGTTAAGGAAATGCAAAGCCATATCACCAACTTTGCCACCGGAAACAATAACCTTGGCACCAGTATCAGCAATGGCCTTAATTTGATTTTCCAACAAACTCTCTTCACCCGACGAGAAGTTCATCAATTCATCAGCAGACTTAATCAACACAGTACCTTTTGTCTCAGTTTGGATAATATCAACGGGGCAGGAGAAAATTGCAATCTTGGTTTTTTCAGCATAGGTGACATCACCCTCCACAAAACGTTTGAACACCATACCATGTACCACTTCCGATTTGGACAAACCACTACCCAAAATCTTGCACACACGAATGTTATCCACATTGAATGTGCCCTTATCGGGCAGAATGGATACACAAGCCTTGGCAACCAAATCAGTGAGGAAATCTTCTTGGCCATATTGTTTGGACATAATGGCGGATTTCATGACCTCTTTGACCTGCTCAACATCACGGAAATCCTTAACTTCATGGCACACCAATTTGGGCAAAATTTCCAAGGCCTTTTCCAAAGCTTTTTCATAACCCTCGGCAATTTCGGCAGTGGTAATACCCAAACGCAACAACTCTTCGGCCTTTTCCAACAAGGCACCGGCAAAGATGACAACAAAATTGGTGCCATCACCCACTTCGGCATCTTGCATTTGACTAGCCATGACCATCAGTTTTGCAGCAGGATGTTCAACATCCAATTCGCGCATAATTGTGCCGGCGTCGCTGGTCACAAATTGTTTTTCAATGTGATTGATGATCATTTTGTTCATTCCATTGGGACCATAGGCAGAGCGCATGGTCTGGGCGAATTCTTTGCAGGCTGTGATGTTACGGTAGACAGCCTCTTCCAAACCGCTGTACATCTTTAAAAAGAAAAGGGTCACATTTTATATTTCACTTTTTTATTTATTAATTTGTGAAATTTTTGCAATTTTCGAAACATTTGCTTTAATTCTTCGTTGTCCCGTGATGAGTCAGTCATAACTATGACATACCCATTGCTAATGGCGACAAGGGGGTGCAGCAGCAGTTTTGAGAACCGCATGACAGACGTTTTGTTTTTGCCATGGTTTTTAATTAAATATTTGGATTTTTGCAAAAACTTCTTTGGGGGGTGATGACTTTTACTTACCCGTGCTCCATCCTTGAGCATTTGAGAAACTCCAGGTGCTTTGGGAACTGATAAAGCCATTTTTATGCACAGATTTTTTTCTACAGCAAACGGTCAAGAAACGCAATGGAAAACAAATTAACCTCACTCTTGATAGTGAATGCCGACAGTGAGTACTTGGTTACTTGACAGATGTTGTGTACATTGAATGAGAGTGAGCGAACGAGTGGGCGAGAGAGATGTGATTACTTTCTGGAATACTCGGTATGTTTTGGGAACGCCGTCATTTAAGGTGGAAATTTGAATTGTGGTTTTAATATAATTTTCTGTAAGAAAATATATTATAAAGAAGGAATAAAATAGAATTAAATATTATTATCAAGAAAATGAAGTGAAAAGAGTGGAAAATTGAATTAATAATACTAATTGGGTGCAATTAAAGTGGGAGAGATGATAACTGGCATCATACTTGACATGTTGTGTGAACGCCGTCATTTAAGGTGTAACTTGGAACAGTTGTTTTGCAAAATTAAAAACATTTGCAAATAGAAGAATATTTAAAGATTTAAAGGGGATAAAATGAAGAAAACAAATAAAATAAAAAAGAATATATAAAAAGTGAGAATTATATCTAAAAATGGAATGTTTTTGTGTACAATGAAAGAGAGAGAGAGTTGATACCTGACACACATGACATGTTGTGTGGACGCTTTCAATTATGGTGAAGCTTATGGTGTTTTTACACGATATGTATTTTACATATGTGCTGTCACTTTTTCATCCATATGTAATTCCTTATGTGTGTCAAAATTAGCAGTGTACACAAAACATTTATTTTTGTGTTCAAATCGGCATATGTATTTTACATATGACATAACCTATAAACAAAAAAACACTTTTATTTTTTCTTAAATCAACATCATTTTTTTTATTAAACACCTACAAACGAAATAATAATTTGTAATTGTTGCCTTTTCATCCTTTTTTTTGAATTGCAATTGAAATATTTTCATGAAATATTTTCATTTCATTCAAACAGCTGATTTCCTTATGTTTCACATACGAAAATAGAGCGCGTCCTATTCGGAAAAAAATACATATGTAATTGCATATCGTTTTGACACATTGAAATTTCCGTATGTTTCACATGACGAGTTCGATTTCCATATGTAAAAAAGTGACAGCACATATGTAAAATACATATCGTGTAGAAACACCATTAGCTTTGAAATTGTTTGGCAATTCAAGGTAAATTGCAAAAAAATAAAATGTATTTACAAAAGTGAACAATAAAATAAGTATATTTTTAAAAAAATACATTGCTAATGAAATTTTTTATTAATAAAATAAATATAGTATTAACCAAGGTATATTAAGAAGGTAACCGTATCAAACCAGGTGATTGTAACATTAAATGTCACAACAATTTTAATTCGACGTAAAATTAAAAAAAAATAGAAATAGAAAACATTTCAAAATAAAGAACAAAAAAGTAGAAAAATAATCGACATCGATACTGGCCATTGGGATTTCCAAATGATGACCATATGGCCGTAAAGAAGATTTCGGGATGGAACCATAACTTTTCAGACGATTAGATCTCATATCTATAAGAGGCCACGTTCCTGTCGAATTTAATTAGAAGAAAGTCAGAATTTAGCAAGGAGAGATGGGTTCAAGCTGCAGAAAAGGTCCCCTAACCAGAAGAGAAGGCCTGTGAATGTGTCCTATTTATAGAAGATTTGTCAACGATTATATGTTTTTCTTCGATTAATTTATTGGACATATATTTTTGGGTTTCTGTAACACGCCCCATTATTGTTTTGTTAATATACCTAATAATCTAAGATGAAAGAAACTTATTTTGTTCTCTAAAAGAAGGCCGTTTGGTATTCTTTTCATAATGTTGGCTTGGGTAACCTTTCGGGATTTTGGTATTCGATATATCTTTGTAGATAATATAAGAAAAGGTCTTAACCATATATTATATGAGGCCTATTCCAAAAGATAGACAAAATTATGTTTTAAATATCATCTTTTGGAATAAAATCCATATAATTATGTGGTTCTGGGTGAAATTCAATTTTGTTGGATTTCCTTTGAAGAAGTGGACACTAAAACACGTTTTGTATGCCTTTATGTTTATTTACTATTTTCTAAATTTCAATTGAAGTCCATAGAGGTCATTAAAACAACAGCAAAATCGGTCACGTCTTGTACCATTCCCATACTATGAAGTTGATTTAATTTTCATTCACAAATCTTATATTTGGACCAGCATTTACAATTTCAAAATTTTTCAAAAAGTAAACAAATATTTTTACTATTATTTCAAAATGGTGAATTCTGATTGGTTGAATTTAATTTGCTTCAAGTTTTGTATGTCACGGCGAATCAGTTATTTTTCGCCTTGTTAACAATGTTGACATATCATGTTCCCAATTCGCCGATGCGGCTACCTTATATATCTACCTTGGTATTAACTGTTTGTTATTAATACAGGTTTTGTTTGACATGTAAAGAAAATGACAGTTCTTTCTAAACGTCAATAAAATAACATCTGTTTCTAATTGTCTTTGCTGTTGAATTTAAATTTGTGATATAATTTTTCCATTATTTTCGAAATTCAAATAAATATATTTGAATACAAAATTACCGTTATAGAGTAAAAAGCGACTAAAGCGACACCAAGTAAATTTCCCCTTGAACTATGCCAAGGGATAAAATCCCATGTCATGTATATTCATGTCAAGTGAGTGTATATTTATTCAGTGTGAATTTGACTATTGATTTGTAAAGGAATATTGAATTTGGAGAGGGAAGCAAGCAAAATAAGAAAAATTCCAGAGAATATAGATTAAAATTAATTAATTTTTTTAATCATATATGAAAACCTGTCTTTGGTAAGTAAGAAAATAATATACTCTTCTGTAATTTTAATTGAAACTATTTTCTTTACAGATTCACCAATTAACACTGTGCCCTAAGTATCTGCCATATAAGCGGGCCAAAAGCCACAAGTGATTGACTGTATTAAAAAAGGAACCCCCCGGTATTCATCTTCCTTCCCCCTTAATTATTTTGTGTGGCTTTCAAAATAGGACTCGCCGAAACTGCTCTACTTGATATGACGGCTGCCAATATACAACAGCAGCGTATTATCAACGACCAGCTGAGAAGGGAAGCGAAAATACATCGCAGACGTGTTTCTGAAAGATGCAAGGATATGATTACATACATGAGAGATCATGCCAATGAGGATTACCTCTTGAATGGATTTCCCAATCAAAATCTAAATCCATTTCGGGAAAAAAGTGCATGTAGTGTTTTATAAGAAGCAGGCCACCAAAATGGACAACAAAAAGTACACACCTACTTTTTTTGTTGTCGACTACACAAACATACCTACTTGTAAACAAATGTTCCTGTGGTTGGTTATGTAACTGTTGCGGCATTAACAATGGCACAACACTTCAACGGGCATGCAAACAGCATATTTCCCTCTTGGCCCCAAAAAATATGGAACTCAATTATTATGTCAGTAGTGATGAAGAAACCAAAAATGAAAATATTGAAAACAGAGTATATACACCTATCTACATACTTAGATAACAACAACAACTTTAGCCGTCTATTTGTTATACTATTTATACTTACATACATATATACAAATAACTAGATGAAAAAATCGTATACTATTTTAAGATCTTCATACACATATATATACGTACCATACGGACCTTTCTAACCGCAATTATTATACATGCATACCTACATATGTATATTGCAGTGAGTCATGCCAAAGAGTAAATTATGGAATTTATATTAGCTTGTATTAAAAAAAATGATAGATCCATATAGCTTAACTGATAAGAACTTTACATGCATATTTTTCCCTTAACCTATTAATAGCAACCCCAACCCTTTACCCAAAACTCCTTTAATGGTTTCACACAACAAAACAATTTTGTTATCTCCCTTATCGTGATTAAAAAACCAATCATATCATCCCTTATTGGAAAATATTTCCTATTTTTGGAATACCCATAGATTAGCCGTTTTTCCCGACTCACTGCACATACCTAATGTTATACATATAGACTATTGAAAAAGAAAACCAACAACAAATCTACTTTCTTTTGGAGTAGCTGTCAACCTGGACCTGGGTCAATGAATTCTGCTCAAAAAATAACCATCGGTGTCAATATAGGTTTTCTTTTGCTACGCCTATGGATAAATACTATATCATTTAAACTAAAACAAAATAATAATTATTATACTAATAGTATGAATGTATTATTTCCAAGAAAAAAAATAGTATTATTTACACACTGAAACTATATTCTACAAATAACTAACTAAATGGGAATCTTAAATTGAAATTGAAAAAAAAAATAATAAATATTTTATAGAACATATCAATAGAACTGAATAATTCGAAGGGTGTTACTTATTGGGTGGGGTTGCATGCAAGTGGGAAAAAAATGGGATAAGTTTAAAAAAAAACAATTCGGATAACTTTTTCCTATCGAAAAAAATTATTCGAATATTCTTAACGCTATAATTTTTTCTATAGAAAAAAAATTAATCGGATAAAATTTTCTACAGAAAATCTATAATTTTTTCTATAGAAAATATTATCAGGATAATTTTTCTATAGACAATTTTATCCGATTAAATTTTTTACATAGAACAATTTATCCGTATAATTTTTTCTATAGAACATTTTTCTTTCTATAGAAAATATTATCCGGATAATTTCTTTCTATAAAAAATATAATTCGTAATTTTTTCCTATAAAATATATTATCCTGCATAATTTTTTCTATAGAAAAAATTAAAACTTTTTTCTATAGAAAATATTATTCGAATATTTTTTTTGTATAGAAAATATTATACGGATATTTTTTCTATAGAAAATATTATCCGGATAATGTTTTTTCTATAGAGAATATTATCCGGATAATTTTTTCTTTAGAAAATATTATCCGGATAATTTTTTCCTATACAAAATCTTATCCGGATAATATTCTCTATAGAAAAAACATTATCCAGGTAATATTTTGATACTTTTTTCTTATAGAATATATTATCCGTAAAAGTTTTTTCTATAGAAAATATTATCTAGATATTTTTTCTATAGAAAATTTTATCCGATTAAATTTTTCTATCGAAAATCTTATCCGGATATTTTTTTTCTATAGAGAATATGTTTTTCTATAGAAAATCTTATCCGGATAATTGTATTGGCTAGAAAATATTACCTGGGTACTTTTTCGTAAAAAAAAATTTTCCGGATAATTTTATCCTAGTGAAAATAATATTTATGCGTATAATTTTTTCCTATAAAAAATATCCGGATAATTATTATTATCCGATTCATTTTTTTTTCCTATAGAAGTATTATCCGCGTCCTATATAAAATCTCGTACGAATACTTAATTTCAATTCAAGCATATCACTCATACGCCACCATTTCCCAATTTTCCTTAATACCCTACTCCCAAACAAATCTTCCACTAAACCTTAAAGATTAAACAAATAAATAAATAATCCACTTTGTTCATGACGAGGACACAAATTGGTGCTAAGTAATGTGTAATAATCGAGAACAAAAAAACTACTCACATTACGATGAATTTGTGGCTGGGTGTGTGCATGCACATGCACACGTGTGTGACTGTGTTTGTGATAAATATCTCTATTAAAATGTGACGTTTTTAAAGGTACTTGACATGCCATTTATGTATTTTTTTAAGTGCTTAGGCGCTCTATAGAAATTTTGCTTTTGAATAAAAAACGAAATTCTAAACAACAAAAGCAAGTAAGGCAAGCAAGAACAAGAATAAAAAGTCAGAACCCTTACTAGATGCAAACTGACAGCAAACAATTCAACAATTCTGGAACATATATATGAATGCTAATGCAAATTTACATAGCCACCTATGTATGTATATGTTATGTGCAGGCAATTCAAATATAACATTAGTTGTGTTTTATTTAAAAATTTAAATACATGAGAACTTATTTGCAATGAAAATTTTCTTTTATTATTCGAAATTATTATCTTGAAGAATAAAGAGTATTTCTCTATATTTATTTATAATATTATTCCAATTGTTTGCTATTCAAACATGCCATAAAATCCACCTATTATTTTGGTTCATTGACCCAACAATAGCATGTTGACAAACTCATAAAAACCCGCGCCGGGCATACACATTCATGTCACACAGAGCTACTGCATTGCTTTGCACACAAAACGCACACATACACACGCACACCAACATAATGGCATAGCCAATGCGCTTGGTTGTTCTTGTTGTTTTTTGGTTACAGTGATGTAAACATCATGCCAAAACAATCACAGAGTATTTCAATGCACTCTCTGTTGTGATGACGATGGTGAGTGAATGATGCATTGTGTTATCAAGAGAAAATGAGGAGAAATCACGAAGAGAATGCAAATGAGAATATGTTACAGAGAAATTATGGGTGTGTTATGCTATTTATGTTACTCTCACCTGTAAGAGTGATTTCTATCGCTCTCTTGCATGCCTTAAAGTAGGTGTGCTATGGAAGAGAAACAATGCTTGTTTTTTAACAATGTAATAACTTTAATTTAATTTTTTTCGTATTTAAATCAATTTTAAAATTTTAATTAAAATATTACGATTTGAATTAACATAAAAAAATTATTTTACGTCAAGTAAATTTATTTTAGGGAAATAAATTTATTAATATGATGTGTTCTCTTGTTCTTGGGACCTTAGAAAGGGTCGTTGGTTGCTTGAGCCTTGAAATCAGGTCATTTAATGTATGAGCACGTTCTGATTTTGTTTGAAATTGTAGGCCACACACACGCACTCGCATACATATGCACTCAAATGTATAGGCAAATGTGTTCATATACGTTACGTACATATGTATATGCATAAGGTCCCTAGTTACTTTCGGATTTATACTTATAGTACTTCTAAATGTTTAATTGATAATGTTTTGAAATTTTTCCTATAGAAAATTTTATCCGCATAATTTTTCCCATCAACATATTATTAGGATAATTATTTCATATAGAATATAATTTTCACATATTTTTTTCCGAATAGAAAATATGATTTGGATGGTTATTACCCAAAAAAAATTATCAGGATAATTATTTTCTATGGAAAAATTATGCGGATACTTTTTTCCCGTATAAAATATTATCCGTATAATTTTTTTTCGAAAATATTATCCGGATAATTTTGTTTGTATTAAAAATATAATTCGGATAATTATTTCCCAAAGAAAAATTATCGGGATATTTTTTTTCCTATAGAAAATATTATCCGGATGATTTTATTAAAAAAAATATTATTATTTATAGAAAATATACTTATTATTTTTATTCTATAAAAAATATTTTTTTTATTTTTTTTAACAATATTCGGATATTTTTATATAGAAAATGTTATACGTATAATTTTTTTCTATAGAGAATATTATTAGGATAGAAAAGACATTTTTTCTATAGAATTTTTTTATATAGAAACAATTATTCGGATAATTTGTTTTGTATTAAAATATTATTTGGATAATTTTTATATAGAATATGTTAGCCAGATAATTTTTTCCTATAGAGAATATTATCCGGATAATTTTTTTTCCTATAATAAATATTTTTCGGATAATTTTTTTCTATAGAGAATATTAGCCGACTAATTTTTTCTATTGAAAACATAATTTTTCTGTAGAATAGGTATTTTTTCTATAGAAAATATAATTTTTTCTATAGAAAATATATTTTTTTGTATGGAAAATATAATTTTTTCAATACAAAATATAATTTTTCAACAGAAAATATTATTTTTTCTATATAAAATATAATTTTTTCTATAGAAAATATTATTTTTTTATAGAACATATATTATTTTCTATTGAAATTATATTTTTTCTATAGAAAATAAAATTATTTTTACCTAAAAAATTTAATTTAAATAAATTAAAATTTTGTATAGAAAATATAATTTTTTCCTCAGAAAATATAATTTTTTATAAAAGATATAATTTTTTCTTGTAAAAAATATAATGGTTTCTATAGAATATTTATATTTTTTCTTTAGAAAATATAATTTTTCTATAGAAAAAATATTTGTTATTGACCTAGAAACTGTTTTCTAGAAAAAATACAATTCTTCCTTTAGAAAATGTATTAAAAAATTACTATTACAATATTTGTTCCCATAAAAATACTATTTTTTACCAAAGACAAATTCCCCATACTCTTCCAATTACCCTCATAAAACGTTAAACCATTTTAACTGTGCCCATCTCATCACATCAATTACTCACCGAAAACTAACTGTATGTGGTGTTTTGTTCTTATTAGACTGAGCAATTCATCAGGCATACTCTCACGCACTCACTGCAGTTTAGAGGAGAATTATTGTCCCATCTAACTGGATTCTATGACAGAATGGGAAGAGAAGAGTGACGTCATGAGATGGTTCGAGTAAAGTGCAGCAATGCAACAACAAACAAATGGCATGTGAAATAATAATAATCCGTTATGAATATTTGCATGAGTGTGTGTGTGAGTTGTTGGTAGTCAAAAATGGAACAACGAAAATTACATTATTGGTACGTAGCCTAGTTTTTTTAAGGAGAGCAAGAGAAAGGTAAAAAAGAAAAACAAAAACTAGTGCAATAACATAACTGCATAGTTTGGTAGACTTTATCGTCATTAAAACACAAACGCACACACACACACACGGAATATAAAACAAAAAAGGACATGGGTGTGTGTGTTGTTTGAGAGTGACGTATGTGTACAATGTGCAATATGATTGAGTGTTATAAATTAAGGAGAATAACGGTGGGGGAGGGAGTAAAGAGTAAAATTGAACAAACAATAAAATCGTGTAATTTGTTGTGTTTGTGGTTATGTTTAGCTTTAATGACGTTTAAATAATGTTGAATGATGCAGTTGTTCTAAGGCTAACCACTGAGCCTATGTGTCAGTCGGTCGGCCATTATTATATGGCACAGGTTGCAAAAGCATAATTTGACCTAGTTCCTAGCTGCTGCTTCTTCTTGTTCTTCGTCATCATCATTCGGTTTGAATTGCTAACATCGTTATTATTATCTCCTTTGGCCTAGCGCGCGTATGCTTCGTGTGTGTGTATGTACGGCGCGTGTTTTCTCATACATATGTATATGTTTGCATGCATGTTCGTGTATGCTGAACATTATCCGTTTGCGGGTATATTCTGTGTTGTTTTGCTGAATATATGGATGCCTATGCGGTAGATTGTTTGGTTTTCGGTGTTATTCGTTCTCTGTGTGTTTGTGTGTGGTTATTCTTCACAAAGAAATGTTACGGAAATAATTGCTCAAGGATACATAAACTGCCTGTCGACTAGAAAGAGGATTTTTTTGTTTTTTGGGGTTTAAAAAAATGTTGGTGATTTTTTTTAGCCTATTAATAGCTTTTTTGATGGTGTATGTGGGATGTTAAAGAGAACAAAGTTAATTGGCATTCTTGTTTGTACTACTAGCCAGAGGAATGGGTTAAGTGGATAATATAGTAAAGATTTGAATGAAAGAAAAAAAAAAACAGTCGATTAGGATAATTATTAATTCTATGCAAAAAGGTATTAGTAGCAAAAAAAAAAAAAAAAAAATAATAATAATAATAAATAAATAATAAAAAAATAATTTTAAATAAATAAAATAAAAATTAAATAATAATTTATTAAAATTATGTCCATCGGTTTATTTTATTGGCCACAAAATTCCAATAGTTTCACGCTACATTAAAGGATTCTGAATTGTTATTGTCGTTTTTGTTGTTGTTAACATTTATTGTTGTTGGTTTTATTTTCGTTGTTGTTGATGATGAATAATCTCGTACTTGACAGCAATCAGACAAGTTTGCAAGTTCAATGTATGCATTCGCACGGACAAACGGTAGTGTTCGCCGATGTTGAAGTGCATCGGTTGGATTATTGGAAAAGGGTTGCCATGGTTGGGAAAGTTTATGGGAACTAAGGTATTGAAATTTTTGTAAGAAAAAATTATAAAAATAATGAAAAATCATACTAATAATAATAAAATCGAAGCGAAATTTGCTAATTGAATCCATTGGCCAACTTTGAAAATTTCATGGAATGAAATTTTTAATTTTTAGTAACCCGAAATATGAAAATGCAGTCACTATAGAAAACTAAAAAGTGCCGAAAATATGGCGACACCTTTATATGGGACCTATGCCAAATGCCATGGACCCATGTTGAATATTTTTCTTCAGCATTTGTTTTTCACCCTACAAGAACCCTAAAAGCAAAATTGCAAAACCCATGCGCCAAAAACCCAATATATCGAAAATGGTGCGTTATATTCATATTTCTGGTGTTCTTCACAATTCAAGGCGTCGGAATACTCGGCCTTGAATATATTTGGATATATATTGGATATATTTTTGAATCATTTCATCATATTTTTTATATTGGATATATTTAAAAAATATTTTCTTTTTATTATTTAATTTTATATAATTGTATTTTTTATTTTATATTTCTACATTTCTTTAAATTAATTTCTTTTAGCTTCACCTTTAATTTATGTTATTTAATTATATATTGTTGTATTCTTTAATTTATGTTTATATATTTTGAATTTATACTTATATTTTAATTTATATATTTCTATATCATTTTTTATTTTTTCTAATTTTCATATTTTATTTTAATTTAAAAATTAAATTAAAATCCCTTAATAATCCACAATAACGTTTAATTTCCTCTCATTTTTTATTTCAATTAATTTCTGTTATTTCCCCCCTTTAATTTCCTTTCATTTAATATTTTACAGCCTGTTTTTGTAAAATTCTAAACGAACGAATTCGAGTGACTTACGACCAAACCTTTGTTTATGTAAACAAATATTTTTTGATTCAAAACAAAAATAAATGACATATTTTTCAAAACCAAGGAGTTTGGTCGTAATTTCCTTTAATTTTAATATTTTAATCATTTCCATGGCATTTTAATTTAAATATTCCAATAATTAATTATAATTCAGTGATATGGCAACCCTACGACAACACCTTCAAATATCCTCATTGTTATGACGTTACTTGGCTGGCTCGTTCACATCATGTAATAGAAATAATATTTATAAATGACGCCCGCTGTAACTTCATTATGAAGTAAACATAGCAGTTGACACACATTAAGAAGGGACAGTGCCAGAACATGCGTGAGAATATGCAAACAATCGATTTATGGTGCTCTCTCTGTCACACTCTTCTCTGTGTGGCCCCAAAAATGGCAAATTTGTAAACAAATAATGCGAAAACAGCAGAACACAACCGTAGACAATGCAAATGTCATGGCGAGAGGCGGCCAGATGTTACTGGATGTGTTTGGCGCTCTCTCCCTCAACAAGAGTGAGAGTTGCAGTTATAAAGAAGAGATGCTGTCTCCATCATGTGTGGCTCTCTCTTCATTTTTGTTTTGTTTTTGGGGTAGCCAACAGAAAACAACAAGCACATTCGAGAATTGCAATCGTATAATAGGCAAGCACATGCTAAAGTGAAGCTCATTTAAAGTACAACCGGTGCTCGTTCAAGTTGTCGTTCTCCCCAAATAGTCGCGGATAAATAGAATTACACAAAGAACAAAGAATTATTTGACACAACTCCAAGTGCAGTGAGTGGCAGTAGCAGAAGTTAAATAAAATAAAAACTACAGAAAACATTGTGGTTTTTTCGAAAACAAAAAAGAAGAGTGAAAAGTGAAGTGAATAAGAAATTGAAATACAAAATAGTAAAAGGAATTTTAGAATTAAATTTCTTAACAAAAAAGTGTTTTAGAAGTGAACCATTGACTACGTATCAAAAGCAACAACACCAACAAAAATGGAAGCTGACAACAAAAAGCCTTTTAAAGTAAGTTGTTAACCCCAAAAATAACAGCAACAACATTATGAGAGTGTTAACCTCTTAAAACTGGATAAAGAAACACACAAACTACACCCTAGTCCAACAAATTATATTGAGACCCTAGAAGGATAAACAAAGTGGTTTCAAATTATATAAAAAAAAAATTAACATCAACAAAAAAAACCTTTCAACAAAATATGTGTTTTCGCTTTACGTTTTGAAATTTATGTGCTTCACCATGCCCTCCCCTAATGCCTCATCCAGTATGCCTGTCTGGTTGACTGACTGCCTTGCCTTGCTTGCCTTGTATTGCTTTTGCTGTAGCGCTGCTCTGTTTGAGGTTGTTGTTGTTGTTTTTTCTTGTTTGGTGTTCTCATCATTTATTTAAGAGAACACAAAAACAAATGTTGTTTTTTCGTTTTGGGGGGCCCAACAATTTTTTTTCATTTTTAACGAAGAGAGCGCTACGCGCTCGTGCTTAGTTATGCTCTTTTATATGTCACAACATTTGAAAGAAGGACCCCCAAAGCCACATGTGAGTGTGGCAGCTAGGTAAAATATGGAAATGCCTTAATTAAAAGAATTGAAGATGCAAAATAAAAAACTTTGGCTGAATTAAGGTTTCCAAAGGAAATCTTCAATTCAGCCCGGCTGAATTAAGGTTTCCCTAGGAAATCTTCAATTCAGCCCGTCTGAATTAAGGTTTCCAAAGGAAATTTTAAATTTAGCTTAGCTGAATTGGGTTTTTATTAAGAAATCTTCAATTCAGCTTAGCTGAATTTGGCTTCTATTAGGAAATCTTCAATTCAGCTTAGCTGAATTAGGTTTGTATTAGGAAATCTTCAATTCAGGTTAGCTGAATTAGGTTTTTATTAAGAAATCTTCAGTTTAAGACGCCAAAATTTGATTTATAGCATGAAATCTTCAATTAAGCCTGCCAGAATTAAGGTTTCCATAGGAAGTCTTCAATTCAGTCTGGCTGAAATAAGGTTTCCATAGGAAATCTTCAATTCAGCCTGTCTATATTAAGGTTTTCAAAGGAAATCTTAAATTTAGCATAGCTGAATTGGGTTTTTATTATGAAATCTTCAATTCAGCTCAGCTGAATTAGGCTTTTATTAAGAAATCTTCAATTCATTTTAGCTAAATAAGTGTTTCTGTATAAATTTCTCAATTCAGCTTAGCTGAATTAGATATTTATTAGGATATCTTCAATTTAACACGCCTAAAATAGATTTCTAGCATGAAATCTTCAATTCAGCTTTGCTGAATTTGTGATTTTTCGCAAATTTGTAATTTTTTTGGCATTTCCTTTTTATCTTAAAGCATTTTTTTTCCTTTGCACCATCTGTTAAAACTCATTCGTTAGTGTTTAAGTTATTATTATTTTGTGTGTGTTATCTTTCAACCACTTGCCTTTCCTACATTCGTTGTCGAATCAATGAATGCTAAATGCATGAATGAAAAGCGAAAAAGGAAAAACAAAACTTTTTTTGGCCAGCTTACAACATTCTGTTGAGCCAGCCAACCCACCAACCAACCAATGTTTGTTCAGGGCTTTATAACCACTTCAAAAACATAAGACTTCAATGGTTTGTTTGAATTCCAATGAACGGTTACAATATTTTGGTTTTTTTCCGAAATAAAGGTATTTTTATTCGTTGCTTTTTACCTATAACGAACAGCATCACCACGAAGCACACACACACATACACACAATCTGAGATACTTATGTTTGTCCTTGCCAGGCCGGTTGATTTCAAGTGAATAGAGTACGTCCATAGTACCTATCCATGGATGTGAAAGTCATAGACTGTGGAAAAATTCTGAAAAACCGAACACCACCACTACCATCATTACCACATTTTCAATGAATGCTGCCTTTTTGAAGGTTTTGTTTCTTTTTTTGCTTTGCCTTCTCTCCCCTCATTTTTTTGGCATTAAATGAAAAAGGTAAATAAGAACAATAAGCGGTTCAATAGCCACAAACAGCAGCAGTACCCTCAGCAGCCAAAGCAACAAGAATTGATTTTGATTGCAAATGAATGTTATTGTTGTTGTTTTTATTATCGTATTGTATTGTTGTTGAGTGGAGAGTGAGAGGGTGTTGTGTTAAATAGCCAATTAAATGTATTTTTAATTTACGTTGACGTCTTGATGTTGGCTTCAATACAAACAGAAAAATGAAATGAAATAAAATCTGTAGCATACTTCAAGGCTACAAAGGGCGTTGCCTCAATCAGTCTGGTCTGATCTGGCTGGGGTGTTATGAAGATTTGTGACAATTGCCGCCGCTTGATTGATGTTATTCATGTAATAAGAACAACAGCAACAATAAAAATTCACATTCGTGGCTGGTGGATAGACAACAACACCCTAAATCTCAGCCCCAAGATGTGGCTCAGAACACTTTGCCTTATTTCCCTTTAGGTTATTTTTTTGGTTGTTTGTTTTCTTTTTTCTATTTCCAAGTTAATAAATGACAGCAATTTTTTATTGTTAGTGTCATACCAAGTAAAGAAACCTAGAAGGTTATGTTATAATATATATATCAATTTCTGTTGCCTATTTTTAGGAGCATTCAATTTTCCCTGTAGTAATAGATACTTAATTATAAGATTTCATAGAGAATATTTATATAACTCGTTAATTAACAGGAATTTAATTAATTCAGCCAGGCTGAATAAAAGATATCCTAAAGAAACCTTAATTCAGCCAGGCTGAATTGAAGATTTCCTAAAGAAACCTTAATCCTATGGAAACCTTAATTCAGCTAAGCTGAACTGAAGATTTCCTATGGACACCTTAATTCAGCCAGGCTGAATTGAAGATTTCCTATGGAAACCTTAATTCAGCCGGGCTGAATTGAAGATTTCCTATGGAAACCTTAATTCAGCTGGGCTGAATTGAAGATTTCCTATGGAAACCATAATACAGCTGGGCTGAATTGAAGATTTCCTATGGAAACCTTAATTCAGCTGGGCTGAATTAAAGATTTCCTATGGAAACCTTAATTCAGCTGGGCTGAATTAAAGATTTCCTATGGAAACCTTAATTCAGCTGGGCTGAATTGAAGATTTCCTATGGACACCTTAATTCAGCCGGGCTGAATTGAAGATTTCCTATGGAAGCCTTAATTCAGCTGGGCTGAATTGCATTTTTCTTATGGAAAACTTAATTTAATCGGTCTAAGTTGAAAATTTCATATGGGATCCTTAATTCAGCGGGGCTAAATTTGCCCTTTTTCCACACAATATTTAACCTGGCCTTGTTGTTTTAATATTTTTCCTTCATAAATCCTTATTCAGCCTTGCTGAATTAATGATTTTTTTGCAGTTAGGCTTATGTGTTCTATTTTGGTATCTTTATTACTGCCACTTTGTTTTTGTCGCACCTCAAAATATTGCCACAACCTCACGTTTAGAAGATTTATTTTTTTCGCCTCCAAAGCTTGTATTTATTTTATTTATATCCCGTTGCTTTTTTCTGCTTCTATAATAGCAAGAAGTAGACGAGCAATAGGTAGGCTAAAAATATTTGGGATTTAGTAAAACAGAAAAAAAGCTGTAGCCATGGTACCTAACCTCATATGTGAGTATGTTACTGGAGGTCGCCTCCCCTTTAAATGCCACTCAATTTCAAAATTGTATTTTCTTATTTATGGATTATTAATTAAAAACAAAACCTAGCCTCGACAACGATCTGCCAGCAAATTTAATTCTCGGCTATTTGTTGTTGTTGTTTTACTTTACTGCCATGTCATTTGATTGGCAGTTTTTTGTTTTCATTTCGATAACTGACAGATGTTGCTGTAATATGGCCTTTGAAATTGTTTGTTTGCCCTTCGCGTAAAAGTTAAAATCGAAAAAAGTGAAAGGGAGAGACAGAGAGAGGGAGAAAAAACAGTTCACTGCAATTAGTGTAATTAATTGAAAATATGAAATCCATTGCATACTATCAGGCTGTGTGGTGTTTTTCTATGAAGGTAAAAGGGTTAATGTGATTGAAAATTGGAATCCACCCGACATTTTAAAGGGTTATGTTGTGCTATTGCATTTCATATGCTAGTAGCAGTATGTATTGCATACTTTAGGGAGCCATGTTATTTGAAATGTAAGTAATGTGAAGTATACTTAAGGGGAAATTAATTAACATATATCTTTTTGGGTCTTTGTGGTAAAAAAGGAGAGGGGTTTGACATTTGAAGTATTTTTTCATCTTGTGTTTGTTTTTTTTTTGAATTCTTGGTAAGAAATAGAAAGAGGTTTTTAATGTTCTCTTCTTTTTTTCAGCCTCATTTGCCAAATATTGAAATTGAGAAAAAAACTTGAAAAGAACAAAAGCTAAAATAAATAATAAAAAATAGCACAACTCAAACAAAAATAAATTAAACTTCAATTACCAAAGGCGATATTAAAAGCTCATAAAAGTAGGCAATGCAAATTGGCATTTTGCATGAATATTTACCTGAGCAAATTATAATCATCTCCAGGGAAATCGAGGATATGTTAATTAAATTCCAAGATCTGCTCTTTTCCAATATTTAAATGGTATTATCCTGAAAGTAGACAATACATAATACTAGAATAATTTGTCTATTTATAGGAGCTTCAAATCCTATAATAGAAAATTTATTCTAGTAATATGTATTGCATACTTTAAGGATGTAAGAAAACAAAAATAAAGGTCTGGGAATTTAATTAACATATCCTCGGGATTTCATGGCACAACAAAATGAGGACGGTAGGCATTTAAAGCTGTGTTTATTTTTGAGTGTGCGTTTTTTTTTTTTTGAATGGCTTGTTTGTAATTTTTTCTCTCTTTTTCCTCTCCTTAATTACACAAATATTTAATTGGTTTTCTATGGCTCTCTTTTCTTTATCTTAATTGTCAAACATTGAAATTGGGATTGTTTGATTTGCTTTGCTTCAAATCAAATTAATTAATATAGAACAAGAACAACACAACAAGTTAAATATTTAAATGGCAATTACTTAAGGCGTTAT